CGGTCCCACCGCAAGCGTGGAAAGACAAAGCGGGTGAGAAGTGATGGCTGCACGCACTTACTCTGTGCTAGGTGAGGTCACCGGCGAGTGACAGCACGGTGTGAATCTACAGTCTGGTGTGCATAGCACTCTACATGCTGCGCTGCAGGGGGGGGGGGGGAGGGGGAGGGGGGGGGGGGGTGTTACTACGCTGGACATACAGTGATGGTGGGAGGCAGCCTTGTGAATAATACTCCGTAGCCGGCTGGGCTGTGGGGTGACAATGCAAGTGTTAAACGGGTATTAAAATTTCGGTGTCAGGGACATGCCGGGTTTCAGGTATAACGTAGAATCAGGTGACCAGCATTAATGGCGGCAGGCAGAGGCTGGGATAACACTCCACACACCGGTGGTCAAGAAGGACTTAAAGGGGAAGTGCGAGGCATCAAGGGTGCAAGGTCAAGGTGGCGTGATCACGAGGCGTTGGGTATTTTTTTTATGGAATTTCACTCCTCAACTCCAATTGAACGGTCACTTCACTGCAAATTCAAATCAATATTATATTTCACACATCAGGAGTACAGACACCCTGATGATGCCGGTTACAAGAGGTTGGTGCGACTTCGGCGATACTTGGGGGATTGTGTGTTGCTCCCTACATGGGAGCTCGCACTACGATGGGTGCCTCAAAACTTACGAAAAGGAGAATTCCAGCTAGCAATTCTTATTAGTTTTGCCACGAAGCGTAGATAGTATTAGATAATGTAGTGTCTTGTATTAAAGCCTATCTCATATAAGCCTGTTTTGAATAGAAGTCTGATTTTCAAGATACACTGTCGGCACATAAGCCTAGGCTGGTTTTAGTGTTGACACTACGAACTTAGAAGTTGCGACTTCGGCGGTAATAGTCATGAAGTCGATTGTTCCAACTTGAAACCTTTAGACTTAGTGTTGACATACATAGAAATACCTGGTTTGAATAGAAGCCTAGCACTGGCAATGGCTTCTACAGAAAACGCATGGCTTTAATACACGACACTACGGTAGATACAAAGAATGTTTAGGAGCTAACCTCTAGTGTCCGGGCTTCCGTGTGCTCTAGCTTGACATTCCGGCAGCACTGAGATGGCAACCATGGCAGCCATGCCCAGCAGCACAGCTGCCGCCGACAATGGCAGGCGCAGGTTACCAAAAGGCATTTTCGCCTGAAAAAAGACAAGAGAGAGCAAAGCGCGGAGGAGCACCAGACTTAGACCTGTGTTCGGCAATACGCGTATACGTGAATCACGAAGTTATGTCATTTGTACCAACACGGACACTCACTACGGTCATGCCCCGGTTATCCTGACCCCGAAATTATGAACACGTCGGTCTACCGTAGGGTCCAGCGGATTCTGCCGGCAGAAAAATTGGCAGAATTCGGCACTTTTCTGGTAAGTTTCAGGCATGTTTGGTATGTGGATAAAGAAATGGAGCAGAATTCGAGGAATTGCCCGCCATAAGGTTTGTATGTACTTTTTTTGTCACTTTTGTGGAAATAGTGACGCCATATGCCATATCTATGATCTTTCCCCATCAGAATCTACATGATTCGGAGTTACGGACATTTCGGAGTTGCGGGCAGTGCCCGGTCCCGGACCGCTCCGATAAACGACGTATGAGTGTACTGGAGAGCCATCCGAGGATGATCGTGTAGTGAGTTGAACAGCACATCACCAGCACAAGGGCTAGCCGGGTATGCTCCAGCAGTGCGTCAAACACTGCAGCCCTACGACATGATGACTATAACTTTTCAACACTAACATGGTAAACTTTTCGAAGCACTCGCAGACTCCAGTGCAGCCACTCATACTATCATTAGCGTATCTCAACTCGAACGTTCCAAATACGGTCTCTTCACTTCAAAATAAATAAATCATTGAACTCACCAAATTTTCGGGCATGGCCCATCCTCAGGGTGAAAAACGTTCAATAAAATTAATATGGTGGCATGGCAAAGATGTGAATCCACTCTACAGGTCACAGTTACCCTTTTCATCGCGTCTGTTTTAGCAAGGGGGCCCGGGGGGGGGGGGGGGGGGGAGGGAGGGGGAACAAACCGTTCTTGGAAATTGAACCTATGTTGACTTGATGTGTTGGAAGACACTAGTGTACTGAATGTGATATATTATTTGTGTGTGTGCGTGTGCGTGTGTGCGCGTGTGTGTGTGTGTGTGTGTGTGTGTGTGTGTGTGTGTGTGTGTGTATACATGTGTGTGCGTGTGTGTGTGTGTATGTGTGTGAGTGCATGCGTGCGTGTATGTGTGTGTGTGTGTGCATGCGTGAGTGCGTGCGTGTGTGTATGTGTGTGTGTGTGTCTGGACGGCCTGGGGTGTCCCCAGCCGTCCTCGCAAACAGTGCCTGAGGTGGGGTCTTCAACGACAGGAGCCTTGGTCGGATAGTTACGATGCCGACACTCTCCTCGTCGCCCCCACCTGAGAGTCCTTCGTGAGGCCTTGCAGGCCTGCAAGTGGAGCAAACTACCGCACAAAGACGACGACTTGGAACGACTCTGAGCATTGGCTCATGGAATGTTCGCTTTGTTGTGGAGAGTGATGGACCAGTTCAAGCGGCAGCCGTGAGAGAAATCGTTTCCGATGATAAGCCAGATCCATAGCTGCCGGAGATGACTCTCTCGAACATGGTCCCTGCCTGAGTCCCTGATCTGGTACAGTGGTCCCTCTATAATCCGGCACCATTTGTGCCACGAAAATCTGCTGGATTAGGGAGGGTGCTGGATTAACAAATCTGATTTACTGCTGCAATGTGCATGAAGAGGACATTTTGGCTACTGAAAATTGTGCTGGTTTATCGAGGGTGCTGGATTATAAAGTGCCGGATTAGAGAGGGACGACTGTACCTCTCTCTCAGCAGACTGCCGTCGCTCGTCGTTCCATATTGTCGGCCCCGCGAGGGGACACGTGACCGTAATGGCAGTGTTTACCAGGACCAGGACCAGGTGTGTGTGTGTGCATGTGTGTGTGTGTGTGTGTGCGTGTGTGTGCGTGTGTTTGTGTGTGTGCATGTCTGCATGTATGTGTGTGCATGTGTGTGTGTGTGTGTGTGCGCGTGTGTATGTGTGTGTGTGTGTGTGTGTGTGTGTGTGTGTATGTGTGCGCGCGTGTGTGTGCGTGTGTATGTATGTGTGTTTAGTATAATTCAGTCAATCTGGTTACTAGCTCTAGTGGGACTTTGTCATGGGGGGGGGGGGGGGGGGGGAGAGAGACATGGGCAAGTTGCCATACTGGGCGTGAATCGGAATCCGCTGTTTTCTCGACTCGATTCGACTGTCACTCTACTGAGCCGGTACTACTTCATTGGATGCTGCTGTTCGTACTAAGAATACAATGAGTAGGAAAATGAATCCGGATTGCCCAATGCAACATGCCCTTACAGGCCCCTTAGCCCAAAGGTAGTACTGCACATCTGAAGCACCTGTGACCAGTCTTACCTTCCTTCTTCGGAAGGGAACAGCCAGACGCAGTTCAGCTTTCGTTCAAGGCTCAAGCCGTGTCTAGTCTGCGTAGATCTACCATGTACACGCGCCAAGAGTGCAGGATCAGCAGTCAACAAGACAACCGGTTTGTTGCGAAGGACAACTAAGGGAAGCCGCTGGGCGTTATCAGGTCGGCCCCTACCCTCTCTCAAACAATTACAAAGCGTCTTCGTCAAGGATGACCACCAACAACCGAGGCCGGGGGGATTCATCCAGGCAACTGTTGCTCAAGTCGTGTGTTCCGGCCGGGTCCAGGTATCCCCACGTGTGTGCTGCTTTGAAGCATTGTGTGTCCGAATCGGGTGGTCTGGGACTCTAGCTAGTGGCTGTGTCGCCTGAAAAGGCTGATGGCTTGGGCACGGGAACTCCTTGTAGCTCCCTTCAATGGCTACATATGGCCGAACCGGTAGACCATGGTAGACCTTCGCCCTCTAGCTCTCTTGCCCTTCAGCCTTTTATGGCGGACGCTTTGAATCTGTTGTTCCCTTGTGGAATTCCGGAAGCGCCAGCGCAGCATGGCAGGTCTACTGAAAACGAGCCCTACACTACACTGCTACAGACACAGTAACATTACATACAATCATGTAGATCTACATGACTATAATATTCGCGGGATCCGCGTCGGCATCGCTTGAATGTTCGTTCAGAAACACACAAACTAGCCTTCGCATCCGCAGGCCACCACTATGCCTGTTAACCTTAGTGGCGAATGCAGACCTCACAAGTGAGTCAGGGGAGAGGAGGTTAGTCTCTCAACCAATCGGGCGTGTAACGGCCCATAACCCTGTAAACTGCATCCTTGTTATTCTCACTCCGAGCTGTGAGTACCCAGTTGACCGTGTGGGTGTCGGCGCAGTTCAACACGCGTAAAAAGTCTTTTTACACGCTCCCTGCTACCAGCGCGGGTCTTGAACTCGAGACCTCATGATTCGCAGGCAGGCCTGCAAACCAATCGGTCATATGCGTTGGTGACTACATGATCTATAATTATATGACTAGTCGCTGCATCCAGGGAGTCGTCAAATACCGGGGGGTATTTGACGACTCCCTGGCTGCATCTAAAAGGTGCACATTTTTCTAATTCCGACCTCAGGCCCGGGAAATTAATTTGAAACTCAACTCGATACTAAAAATTGCACTGTGGTACAATCTTCCTCCAGGGCAGCCTACTCACGCCCAACTGATGAGGGGTGAATTGTGTACTGAGCAGGTCTAGCAGGGGGTGGTGCTTTGTTGCACGTTTGCCGAGTGGAAGTCGCGACGTGCTCCTCGTGTGCTCCGGATGGAAGTCGAGTCGTGGGTCCGGCAGTAAAGTGTCAAGTTGGTCAGGGAATGTGTGTTCCACATGGGAGCAACCAACTTCATCACTGCCGAAGTCGCTACTTCTAAGTTTGCCATCAAACGTTCAAGGTGGCCAATTGACAAGCAGACTGACATGAAATTGTGCTACATACATGTTAACCGGTACTACCTTTCATCAAGAGTCCATAACCCGGGTTATGGACTCTTGCTTTCATCTACTAACATAAATAGAACTAAAGAGGAGGCAATGCCATATTAGCACACGAAAAGGTACGAAAGCCCTCATCAGATTTTCAACTAGCTTTGTCTTTTCGTGTGCTAATATGTTTCCCTCCGACTAAGTCTCTATTTAAAGAGGAGGCATTGTATAGTCGTAATTTGTCCCTGACCTATGTGTTCAGAAGGGACATGTTTTGTCTCCTCATTTGTTGGCGCTAATCCTCGGGAAAGTGTCAGGAATGCTGCTCCCCATTGATGTTTTAATTCTGTTTTAGTCATCGCTTCACCTTCACCCTGTTTCTGACCTCTTCTATTGGATTCTGTTTTGTTTCACATGTGTTGGGTGAGGTTGCCATCTACTATTGTATGCTTTTGCTTCAGCTCAATCAATTGCTGTGCTGACATTTTTCCCTTAGGACTGTGGGAATGCCCTATTAAAAATTTAATAAATAATAATAATAATAATAATAATAATAATAATAATGATGATGAGAAGGGAACGAAAACGTTCGGTTACAAAATTAATTGGCTTACTTGACTGTGTGGATTGCGTCGATGCAGTGCTGACACTTTTTTTCCAAATCGGATGCGCCTCTAGCTCTACTGTCTAACTTTTTTCCTAGAACAACCTCGAAGTAGAAGAAAAGAGAAGAAAAATTCGCACCTGGATGCCGCCAAAAATGGAAAGCACCCCAAAAGATACTTCGCAATATACTACTTGATATCCTTTTTTTAACTTCCTCTCCTATTGTGCTAACAACTTGAGAGATAAGTAAAAGTGGGTGTCAATGGAAGAGAGCGTGTAGGCTCTACTCTGAACTTGAGAGATATTACCGGTACATTTTTCTTTTGTTTCCAGAACTTTCCACACTGAAAGGTGGCTGGATAGTCTCTTTCTTCTCTTTCTCTGTCTTTCTCTCTTTTCCCTTTTTTTTTTATCTATGCTTCGCTAAATTTATCACCGAGTTGTAATGGTTACCACCCTTGTGCTCTTATCCATAATAAAGGTTCTGATTGTTTGTACTTCATTTGAAGAGAATGCTCGAAAACTGGTTCATGAATTTCGGAGTCCTTTGATGATGGTGACGGTGATGAATAGCTTGAGATGTGTAGTGTTTCTGTCCCTGATAAGCTTCCTGTTGCCAAGGAAGTTATTTAAAAAAAGTGTGTGATCGAGTGTATCATTCTGGAGAGTGATTATATTCTAGTGAAGCCTTTTGAATAGGGGGAAACGGCAGTGCCCTCATCACCAGATCTCACCATACCACCAGTGCAGTCCAGACCACACTGTAACTACAGTCTACCGTCTAGAGGCCAGGAGTCAGGACCCAGGCCAGGCATGGCAGGGAGCTACAATAAGTTCCCTTGATCCAAGGGCAAAGGGCGGTCACGCCAGTTATGGCAAACTCAAACTCGATGTCTACGATCTGATCGAGCTGAGTCTTTAGCTGCACCCAATAAGGACGAGAGGGACGCTCTTAGGAGGCCAGGTTCACCAGTTGCAACACAGAGTACAAAAGCCCCAGGGGCCATTATTATTCTTGGTTGCAAGGCCTCAGCATTTTCTGTGACTCACTGAGGTTGGTAGCGTTAGAATCCAAGGACACCCGATTAGGACTCACGACGCTTCGAAGCCATACACACTTCCGAGTTAGAGGAGTAAGACCTGGTTTGAACTTAGGAATCTCCTCAGTTGTTGTTGGTTCCTCGAAGAAGACGCTTTGTCTGCGAAAAGGTAGGTGAAGGCCCGATGATTACTGCCAGCGCCTGCCCTTAGTTGTCATTCGCTACATAAAGTAAACGTTGTCCAGTTGACTGCTGATCTTGTGATCTTGTCCCGTGAACTGCGTCTGGCTGTTCCCTACTGAGGAAAGAGGGTAAGACTCATTTTGTCAGATGTACCATCTTTGGGCGAAGGGGCCGCCTGTAAGGGCACGTTGCATTGGTCAATCTAGATTCATGTCAGGCTCACTGCATTGTTAGTAATAGCAGCTCCCAACGAAGCTGCACCGGTACTAGTGGGTCCTGGTCGCTCAGTACAGTAGAATGGAGTCTAGCGAACAGTGGAAGTTCCGATTCATAACCCTGTATGGTAACTTGTCCATGCCTCACTCCCAAGGCTGCAACCATGGTGACTTGCCCATGTCAAGACTGCAACCATGGTAACTTGCCCATGCCTCACTCCCAAGACTGCAACAGACAGCACACTAGTAGTAGTAGTACAGTCAAATCTGTCGTATGCGACCGCCCCTTGGTGCAAGAAAAAGCAGTCTCTTACAGCAGATGGTTCTTACGGCAGATGTATGGTAAATCCGGCATACCGGGCATGCATATATGCTTCCATGTACTCAAATCAACGAGAATAATGTGATTTTAATATCATTTATTTGATATTCAATAAAATATAGGGGTGCACAAACCCAAGAATAGTGCACATGCCAGGGCTAATCTTGAGAGCTACAGCGCAGCCTCAGTACAGGCCAGGGCCAGTCGATCGCACTTGCAAGACAGCGCATTTTCACACCTTGCAGTTGACAGCGCACTAGCACTGGCAAGTACAGTTTCGCACCTGACTGAGCCTGGGTCGCGGTCGCTTGCAGCAGATTTGAAGGCAGCCATCGTGCATGAAATCGCGGTCGCTGGTCGCGCACAGCAGATGGTCGCTCTGGACAGATCAGTTTGTATGTGAAACCGTCGGTGCACGGAAAATCGGTCGCTAACGGTAGATGGTCGCCTACAGCAGAGGTTGCTAACGGCAGATTTGCCTGTAGTAGCAAATTCACGGAAGAAAAGCTCACAATGTGCGGCAAAATTGCGGGGAATTTAGGAGTTTTTGAAAAACTTTTGAACATTTAGACGAAACATTCTGAATTAGTGATACAATCCATTCATAAAAAGATGAACTAATATTATTACTTCTAGCTTTTGGCTATAAAAATAGGTCAGGTTTTCAGGGTTTTAGACATTTTTAAAACCCTTAAATATCCTGCAGTAAGGAGTTCTCCAGATGAGGTGAACATTTGAATTTCTTTGCTGCTGAAAGTGCTAATGGCCACTCAGCGAGTACATGTAAGCTGGCGTTGCAGGTCGGATCATTTAGTTAAATTTTAAACCCATTGCGTATTGCTATTAAGGACTGCACTACAGTTGCGCTTGCTGAAATCCGACCCAAAGTGCAAAGCCGACGCCCTGGACCAGTTTCGATTACTCACTGTACTAGAACAGTGTGTACGTACAGTCACATCCGTACCTCTTCCAGGGCCTCACGGGCCGTGCAAGTAGAGGACGACAAGTATGCCGCACTTTGGCTTGGATTTCATTGGGCACAACTGTAATTGTGTATTTCATTTATTCATACAATTAGACTTTATTTCAGACTTTGTTTGAAGGATACTCCAAAAGTAAATGGATACTTATCAAGGGAGTTTCCTGGAAGGGTGGATGAGATGAAACGGAAGTGAAACGGTGTCAAGGGAAAGACTAAGCAGAAACACTGCTCAAGAAGAACTACAGGTAAAACAACAGAATACATTACAATATTTGAGTGCATTGGACCTAGGCCTGCAGGGTTCAGCCCACTTCGGTGGGATCATCCTCGGAGATGGTCCTGCGGTAGTGTGTGGGGTGTGTGTTTTTGTACAAAGTACGTCGCTGCGGGATTGGGGTATTTCTGATTTCGTGTCCTCTGGTGCTACTCCGCTCTGTGTTGTTTTCTCGCCTTTTCCAGACGAAAAAATGGCTTCTAGTGGATTCAGCATGCAAGTGCCGGCACTTGTCCTGCTTGGACTGGTTGCCATGACAGTGATGCCAGAGTGTCAAGCTCTTACGCGGGGAGATTTTCAAGGTATGATCGTGCGCAGCTGCATGCTGTAGAAACCTGCTGCGGATAGTCCCCCCCCCCCCCCCCACCCCATGCACACGCACACACGCACCCGTGCAAACACACCCACACCCACACATACACACACACACACACACACGCACACACATGCGCAAACAAACACACACACACACATGCCCACACATACATGCCCACACACACACACATGCCCACACACACACACACATGCCCTCCCCCCCCCCCCCCCCCCCACACACACACACACATGCCCCACACACATACAGTACACACGCCAACATTGGCCCACACACGCACTTTGACTACTGTCGAGTGACAAAGAACTGGGGGGGAGGGGGGGGACAAAGAACTGGGGGGGGGGGAGGGGGGGGGGGCAGCGCCGTAAATAAGAATTGCATATTGCCATTCTTATTATGTACAGTTGTGGCAAGTGAAGTCCGACGCTTGGCATAAGGGACTGCACCATGCAGTCTGCAGCGCCTGCAGCCAAAACGGTCCGTGAGGTCCGCCACCAGGTCGGCCCAAACGGCTCTCATTGCAGCTGGGACAGAGCCCAGAAATGTGTGTGCCCCCGTCGCGAAGGCGGACTGCCAAAAATCGTGCGAGCTGCGCATCGTTCTAATCATTGACCGCGGCACAAAGATTGAAATGCTCGAGGTGCTCCAACCAATCGACTTGGCCCGTATAAGCCTCCGGCATAATGGAAGGCTTTGCGTTTGGAGCAACTCGTGCTCCCCCAGCAGCATTAGGTGCAGCAGTGACATTGGCACCAGCCACGGGGCGGTTTTGAGCTATCTTAGTTTGCAAGTTGTTTGCAAGTTGCGGATGCTATAAAGAACGAGAGGCAAGCAAGGCTTGAAGGAGAGGCTGTTTTAAGCTTCTTAGGCAGACCCGAAGGTGGAATGATTTCCTAACCCCACATCGGTCTCTTTTATCCCTGGGCTGCTGATGTGTCAGCGCCATTTCGCATTCGGCATTGCGGCGCGGCCTGCGCATAGCCTGCGCACGCAATCTAAATACGGACTGTCGCCAGTCACTGTATCAGTAGTACACTGCGCAATGTTGCGCTCCTAAGTGACCATACTGGCCCCCGGGTACCGCTCAGGTGTGAAGAGTCACACCTTGTTCGCTTTCCGTAGAAAACTAGCCTGAAAACGTTCCTGCCGGCCCCACTATGGCCAGGCTACGCTGTTCTAGTCTAACTATGAGCACAACTTATAGTCTGACCTCTCCCGTTCCTGACTCAAGAGTGCAGGGTGGTACGCAACATGCTGGGGTGCGTCCCCGTTTGACTACCTTGTACATGCAGTCCTTGGAGCTAGTTCATACCACTAGTCCAATATCAACCCTCATGCTTTGACACACAAAAACACAAGTTTGTTCAAGTTCGCCTCTAGGGCCATCTTTCAGAAGTTGTTTAGTTCAACATCTCGGCTTCGGCCGAGGCCAGGCTGGCGGCGTCTACGGCTGCCGCATCGGTGGCTGCTGTCAGGCGCTCCCTCTTGACCCTGGCGGCATCCCGGGCTGCAGCAGCGGCATTTGCACGAGGCGTTGCCGGTGTTGAAGGTCTTGGCCTCTTCGGTGGAGGCCCCTCTTCAATGGCGGAAGCAAACTTCTTCAGCGCGGTGAGTACCGATGTCAGCCCACCGGCCAGAGCCCGTAGCTTCTGGGCATGCGTATGCCTGTTCAAGGCTTCGAGCGCTGCGGCACCCGTCTGCAAGGCCACAAGCAAGTCCTGTTGGTGACTTGCGTGCCGTGGGAGTGGTCGAGCCGAGGGTGGGCCACGCTTTTGCTGATTGTCTGCCATTCTCGATTCTGTTCAAGAAAAGGACACACATAAGATGTTTTAGCATTATCGCTTGATCCTGGTCACAGCACCAAATGTCATGGCTGGTGATCCATCTAGTGGCACCAGGCAGTCAACCAATATAGTCGACTCAAGCAGATAAGTAGCTCACCTGTTCTTCGGCTCACACAAGGCAGTCGAGGGTTGAAGGAGAGCGATCAAAAGATACTTTATTCCATTGAAGGATTTCAGACAAGTATAATTTGCGATATAATAATAGGGTAGTGGATATATGGAAGAGTATTCCGGGGAACTCGCTCACCCAAGTGAAATAAAAGCAAATTGGGTTCTGAGGCGTCTTCGTGCGCCTGTCTTCGTACGCATGAACTGCCTTCGGCTGACGGGCAGCCTGGAGGATGCCGCCTTCGTACGCTTGAGCTGCCTTCGTACGCATCGCCTTCATCTGCCATGCCCGTAGGCCCTTCCCTCTTCCCTCTTCGTCTCCCCGTAGGGTGCCTGACGGCCAAGCCATGTCCTCTCCCAAAAAGGATACGGAGTCCGCACTACAAGAAGCACTGCAGGACTCTTTCCGAGAAGAGAAGAGGTGCCATTCTTGCTCGACTAACAAGGGTAAGTTATCAGCTCCCTTGCAGGACTAAGCGTGGCCCCCTCAAGCTCAATAGTGTAGTGCGTACAATGCTGACGACTTGTACGGAAGGTGTGGCCGATGTACGACCACACTTTGCGGGTCTAGGCCACGCGTAGTAAGCCATGACTGCTCTCAACTAGCGAAAGTGCCAAATCCTTCGCAGGGCTAATCATGGTTCTTACAGAACTCTAGAAGTTTCTCGGAGCCCAGCTTTTGGCTGCTGAACTCAATGCGTGGTCGCTTTCACGACGAGTCGAATTCGGGTCATGACATACCGTAAAGTCTTGTATAAAAGCCGCGGCTTCTATGACTTTCTTGGTGAAAATTTGCAGGCTTCTATATGAGACAGGCTTCTATACAAGACAGGTATTTCTATGTATGTCAACACTAAAACCAGGCTTATGTGTGATTTGATGGGCCCAAAATTGCGGCTTCTATTCGAGGGCGGCTTCTATTCAAGTGCGGCTTTTATACAAGACTTTACGGTATGCACAGTTGAGTCACCGTTTATACACTGGTATCAAGAGTAGATAAATAAGAGTGTGCAACTCCGGGATGGGTTGGCCGGCGGCGGATTTTTTTGTTGACGTAATCTTTTCGACGATGCACGCGCTGCGAGTCTTTTGGAAAGTTTTGCCTCGTGCACTTGGCCGGGCTTTACATTACAAAGTCGGTGCCCAGCACGTGCTCTCACACTGCTCTGGGGCAAAATGCGCGTTCTTCTGAAAAAAAAGGTGACGTCAACAAAAAATTCCGCCACAGGCGGGGGGGGGGGGTATCTGCAGATTGTGCAGAAGAGATCCGGAGTTGCACACTCTTGTTTATCTACTCTTGGTGATATGCTGTGCTTGGTGAAATTCTAGCCTGGCCGTTCTTCGGCGCCCGATATGCAGTACTTGCCCCCCCCCCCCCCACACACACACACACATAACTCAATGTAGAGTATGCACACAATGTGCTGTTGGTGTTGGCGTCTAGCAGGGAGTAGTAAAATACCGGTATTTTACTACTCCCTGCCGTCTAGTCCCGCGAGCACACAGTCATCCTAGCAGTAATACCGGGTTTTTACTGCACACTAGCAGGGAGTAGTAAAATACCGGTAGTTTACTACTCCCTGGCGTCTAGTCCTGCGAGCACACAGTTACCCTATCAGCTCGCTCTCCTTCAAACTTTTTTTTGGCGATGTTTGCGCCCGGCGAAGATGTGACGAAAACAAAATAATCCTCGGCCTGGCGTGATTGACGTGAAGTAGGCGGGCATAGTTGGATGGTATAACAGCATGATCGAGAAACAGAGGATATCAGGTTCAAGTCCTGCTTGAAAGCGGAAGGATTATTTTTCAGTCGTGCTGTGACTATCCCTTGGCGGATAATGCTCGAAAAGATGGCAGATTCTGCTCGAAAAGCAGTGAAATCGGCAGAACCATACAAACCTTATGGCCGGCAGTTCCTCGAATTCAGCTCCATTTCTTTATCCACATACCAAACATGCATGAAACTTACCAGAAAAAGTACCGAATTCTGCCAATTTTTCTGCCGGCATTATCCGCCAAGGCCTAGCTGTGACCCACAGTTAATTTATTGACCCATTGCGCATTGCCAAACATGGAATGTATGAGTAATGCTTGTGAGTACGCTGGGATTACAATGTAGTAATGCACGGTTCAAAACCCCAGACGACCATGCCCAGGTGGCTGTGAAGGATGTTTACGGTACAAATTACATCATTGCTCGATGGGTCCAAGGAACTCGTGGCCTGGCACGAGGGAAACATGGATGCAGCGAATGGGATTCTCGGCCTTTTGACCAATAATTGTGGTGGGTCTGATCTAGTCACCTCCCACCGCTTTTAGGAGCTGCATCTGCACCTTGATCCTAGAGGGTGGTGGCGTTCGTGCGGATGCGGAGAACTCGGCCTCCAGCCAAGTCTCCCGCGAACCGTGATTTTTCGTTTTGCTTTTTTTGTCGACATGATTGGATATGGATGCGCGAGTGATTCTATTGTCCTCTTCATATATTTTGGTTCCTTCCGCAGAGTTCAGATGCCCAGTTGATCGATTTCTTGCGACTGCCGAGCATCGAACGATTAGCAGCGCCAGGTCGATTTGTACTGCCCAGAAGATGGAGCTCCTCTCATCTGCCCTTCACGCTAGATACCAGAGAGTTCGTCCAGCTTGTTTTCTGGTGAGTATCTTAGCAGTGTGTGTGTTGTGTGTTGTGTGTCTGCCTTCTTACACTTTACGACATCCTCAATATCAGGGGCGTCGGACGCCCTACGGTCACTGCGATATTGACCGTGCCACTCTTTGTCCCTGGTACCCTGTGAATTAATATAGGGCACCCGATTTGGGCTCTAATTTTCGAAAAACATTTCTGAGGAGACACCCCAACCCCACGAGTAAATTGTCCGCTTCAGGTGGCTGACCATACCACCCTGAAATACCTTCCGACGCCGCTGCAACCCCATCATCACCGTGCGCTCTTAGCCGAACCAATGCACGCCCGAAGCATAATAAACACACCAGCACGGCAAGGACACGTCCGTTGACAGATAATGTTTACGCCTCTCCCGTTGACAAGAAATTCTCTCTCTCTCTCGATCTATTTTAACTGCTCCCTCTACATAAAGTTGTCATGTCATTCTTCTTCCAGGAGATCCCGTCGACAGGCCTAAAGCTTTTGGGAAATCCCTAAATATAATAAAATACAAAAAATTGTTACGCCTATGTTGCTGTGCTGGTCTGTCAATGCATCATCGTTCGAGTGCTCTGACTACAGTCCGTTTCAAAAAGATTTGCAATCCTGGCGATCGCCCGCGGAGTTTGGCGTCTTACCGTATGAGCACTCGAGCGCTGCCTGGAAAAACTGACTGTGAACTCGAAGAAATATTCCGCGCGAAAGCAGGAAAAATGACAACTCACTCACGTAACCGTCGTTGATACAGTCATGTACGTCTGGTTTACAACAAGCGAGTTCTTCCTTGTATCGATAATGGAGTCAGAGAGGACATGTCGAAACGAAATTGTTGTAAATGTTGACGAGCGGCATGTGTCCCAATTCGTTTTGTGACCAAATAGTTTCTTTGAACTGCGATGCAATTTACTCACCGTGTGACGAAAACGACATCGACACGGACTCATTCCCAAGGCCATGACTTGGCAAAGCTATCCATGTGACTTCGACGACATTTTGAGAAAAGCAGACACTTGTGAACGCTGATAGAAGACGGCGTTGACTGCTAAATTCAAATAAATTGGCGATCTTGAAACTAAAATAAATCTCAAAAAGCTACAGCGCGATGACTTCCATATTCACTCACACCATTGCAGTGTTGTGGGTGTGTTCACATGGCGTGAGCCAGTCAAGTGTCAGTCAGCTCGGCAGGAAGCGCGAGCTTCAACAACAAGTCGTTTGGTGCAGCCATCTTCTTTGTCTTGTACCAGCTAGCTTGATCACCAAAACAATGAAAAAAAAGTTTGACTTGAGGATAGGTTGGGATTTGAACTCACAACTTCATGGTCAGCAGACAGCATTCATAACCACAAGGCCAAAAAGGTAGGGATAAACCGTGAGTTTTGATTAAAAAAATCGATACTGGCTTCCTGGGCAAATTGTAAACCATGGGAAAAGGCCGGAAACCTGGCCGAAATTGCATCTCCTTAACGGCTGGTCCAATTGTTCCGAAACCTTCACAGAACAATCTGCCGTGTCCTAACAAGCCATTCTATGTACTTTGTTGTCCAAATTTCCCTTATCTTCATACTTTTAAGAACCAAACCTGATTGTAAATCTTTTTGAAACAGACTATAGACTGCATGCTTCCACATGCAGGGCAGGTCACTTTGATGCTAAACACAAAGATCGCTCAACCCAAGCACATGCAGGGCAGGTCACTTTGATGCTAAACACAAAGATCGCTCAACCCAAGCTAAGGCGAGGGAGATGTACTTCAAAATGTTTTAGGTGACTTGCTTCTCTGGATTTTTCATATTTAATTTTTTCATTTCTCTGGATAATTTTTGAAGGGAAAGTTACACCTAAAATCAAATTTTCACCAGCTGAAGTCTTCGGGGTGCTGAGTCGAATGGTCGTGGTCCGAGGAAGCTGAGCCGCTCCATTCCTCCTTTATTCCCAATCGAACTGGCGCACTTTGATCGAAATTGGGTGACTGCGCCTTACTAGATGGGGATTTGTATGCAAAATGTCACTAAAAGCGCCATTTCGTTCTCATAAAAGCACAGATGATTGCGATTTGCCCATATGTTGTAGTCTTTTGGACGCTGAGTCGACTGGTTTTGGTCCGAGAATGCTGTGAGCAGCGTTCCTCCTTTATTCCCAATCAAACATGGTTGAACCAGCGGTCACGTGCTCCTGCGTACACCAGTCACCTGGTCACCGTGCCTAGCCTAGCGCCTGCAAGGTACAACTTATAGCCTGTTTGACCTTTTTTGGGTATGCTCCTGACACTCGAGTTGAACTCGAGTTGAACATTGGTGTGAAAGTTGTCGCCTGCTGGCGCGGTGACCAGGTGACTTTGGCACGCAGGAGCACGTGACCGCTTGTTCAATCATGTTCGATTGGGAATAAAGGAGGAACGTTGCATCGCAGCTTTCTCGGACCAAAACCAGTCGACTCAGCGTCCAAAAGACTACCACATATGGGCCAATCGCGGTCATCCGTGCTTTTATAAGAACAAAATGGCGCTTTTTAGTGACATTTTGCATACAAATCCCCATCTAGTAGGGCACAGTCACCCAGTTTCGGTGGAAGTGCGCGACTTCGATTGGGAATAAAGGAGGAACGGAGCGTCTCAGCTTCCTCGGACCAAGACCATTCGACTCAGCACCCCGAAGACTACAACTGGTGAAAAATTGATTTTAGGCTTAACTTCCCCTTTTTAAAGGCATGTTCGATTGGTTGGATCTGGATCCAGATCAATCGGATCCACTCGATATATGCACATTCTTTTCAACGAATCCAGATCCAGATGCAACGGATTTGGATCCGGTCAACCCTACGCTGTGAGCATGGTTGGCCGGATCCACCGGATTCTTTTTTGCCAAAAACGTACTCTGTACGTGATACGTGTACAAATGGCGGGAATAAACGCGATAATGCAGAAATCGTTGCTTTCTCTCACGGAAACCCTAAAAAATCACTGAGATTTCAGAGTCGACCAGAGGCAGCGTTTGATTGGAACTGGGTGGATCCAAAAGATCCAATCAATCGATCTAGATCCGGATCCAACCAATCGAACATGCCCTAAGTGACGTATGTCTCTGGGTTTTTTTCTGGATAATTTAAGCGACTTATTTTTCTGAATAAATCTAATTGAGTGCTGCCGTGTTCTTGATCTCCCTCCGCTCAACTGCATACAGAACGCTATTAAGCAGGCCTCTGGCAGTGATAGGATACTCTTGTTAGACGGAATGGAGAATGGAGAATCAGCTAACGCCGCCGGTTTTGTGTGCGTAGGAGGTCAGTAGTTTTAAGACTGGCAATGTTGGTAGCAATCAAACACCACGTGACACGCGTTTACGACTCCCTGATTTTGTCAAAGTTTGGTTTCACTTCTTTTTTCGTCTGCTTCGAGTCCGCACTAAGTAGTCGGATCAGACCCAAATTGGGTCAAAATGGACAAAATGCATTTTGACCCCAAAATGCAAAAAAATGTAAACGCATAATCTGGAAAGGCCTAGCTCTGGTGGGTTGCTGCTACGGTGAAATTCTGGGTTTGCATCATTTTCGTGATGTAGTGCGTACGAGCAGGGTTCCAGCAGGTCTCTTTCTGCACAACTGCAGCTCAGTTGTACGCACTACGCCACTTCCTGCTTCGGATCCGTACCAAATATCATGGAATTATGGAATTTCGCCGTGACAGATACCAATGCGGAAAAAGCCAGAAGCTGCGCACTCCGGGTTTCATGTACTTTTGCTAGAACTGCTATCTCAAATTGGCTAGTTATCGGAGTCTGCCATACTATATTTTTTGGAAATCATCGGAGTAACTGCCGTATTTAGAATTCATCGGAGTCACTGTCGTATTCGGAATTCATCAGAGTCACTGCCGTATTTGGAATTCATCGGCGTCACTGCCGTATTTGGAATTCATTGGAGTCACTGCCGTATTTGGAATTTTTGCGTTATGTTTGACTGCTTTGTATTGTTATTCTGCCGTCTTTCCCGTACGTCCAGGCATTGGCTCGGAGTCTGGCAGCTGTGATAGCACGGATGACTGCATGAGAGGGTATGCGTGCATCCATGGTAACTGCGCAGGTGAGTGACATTGTCATGGCAACAGTACCAACAGGGCAAGTGACTTTGTCACAGCAACAGTACAAACAGGGCGAGTGACATTGTCATAGCAACGGTACAAACAGGCGGGTGACATTGTCATAGCAACAGTACGAACAGGCGGGTGACAAAAAAAGGATTACAGTAGTAGTTGTAGTAGAATTTATTATTTTGATAAGGAAGGCCCTACAGACGCTGCCGTCTTCACAGTCAACTTCGCGTATACCGACACTCGGTGGGGTATCAGAAAAGTGTCCTTATTCACGAAGTGTGCTTATACTGTGAAAGCAGAAATTTTCGGTGGTGTAATGTTTTCGATATTCTCCAAAATCGGCGGTTCGGTAGATGGAAATTTTCGGTAAAACCCGTTTTCCAGGTAGGTGTACTAGTACTACAGTCCATTTCAAAACTATAGACGCGTACCTAGGCAAAAACCGTTATGCCAGCATCTATACCACATAAAATCTGTGATCACTTTGTGCATAAATTTTTCCAAATTGGGCGTCTGTTATCCAATCCTTTAGAAACTATATGAGAGTAATTGTGGAGCGATCCTGAGCAATATTCCGAAAACTATTCTCAAAAAGTTCCAGCCAGATTTGAAATATTTCAAAAACCCTACGCGTCTATAGTTTTGAAATGCACTGTACATGTATACATTATCGGTTGTATCGAAATTTTCGGTGCGTTTTATTTTCGGTAAAAACTGTCGGCACCAAAGTTACCGAAAATAAAACACCACCGAAAATTTTTGCTTTTACAGTACCCGAAGTCTCATTACATGTATATGGTGGAAAAGGAGAAGGACAAAATGTTACGAGTTATGACTAACTGTCCACCAACGTAACCAGATCTTATACAGTCAGCGAGTGCGACAAAATGGCACAAAACTGACACGGACACAAAGTTTTGTGCCATTTTGTCGCACTCGCTGACTGTATAAGACCTGATTACGTTGGTGGACAGTTAGTCATAACTCGTAACATTTTGACCTTCTCCTTTTTCACCATAATTTAATTGGCTCACCATCCGAGTTGAACATGTATGTATTGCACTTAGATGGGATTTTGCTCTGGGCATGGAAATATGTACTGTCGTTATTCGCGAATTGTCGTTTTGTCCGCAGACGTTATAACTTATTAGCAAAGTTGACTGTACCGTATATTAAAACTACCACGAGAGCGCCTCCATCTCGTCCTTTCGTGGTCGTGTTGTGGAGGTGGCCTGCTGTCCGTAGGTCATATGACACGAATCTTGTGTACATATTGCACGTTGTGCAATCAATCCGTTCCTTCGAGCGGACACGCGCTCCACATAAAAACCTGCCCAGTATGGACCTTAGTACACTAAGATCCCCACACCGTACACACTTCAAAAACCATCCTGGACGAAAAGTGGTATGACTATGGTCTCACTAGTCCTACCATGTACATGTAACAGTACGTATTTCTGTGTATTTTATTCGAATTCGCAAGTACACAGCTTAATTTTTACTCAATCTGCGGACAGCATGCTGTTTCGTTCTTTGTGAACTCATCAGCGCAGCACAGAGGAAATGAGGCCGAACCTGATAGCAATGGAAATAAAAATTTCCAATCAGGCCCGAACGTACCTTGCCAGAGTGCTCAAACTGACAAGTCAGTGAGCTCTGCGTAATGCAAACAGCAAAGGCACTACCCACATGAGCTTATTTTTTATATATTTTTCTTTTCTCTTATTATATCAGTGGGACCATTGTCATTAGGTTTAGGCCTGTTTTGGAACTCCACTCTAAATAAAGCCAAACAAACACATGACGCCCGGATGATTGTGTGTGTTTGAAGAATTTCTATCTGTACTGCCGGCTTGTAAATCACTGCCTTTCTGGCTTCCCGTATTCCTTACAGACATTGACGAATGCGCTGACGAACGCCGGTGCCCTACTGGGACTCACTGCCAAAATCACGTAGGTGGTTTCGGCTGCAGAGGTGAGTGAAAACAGAATGCTTGCTTCGGTGTGGCACTGGCTGTGAGGTCTGTACCAGTGTGTGGGTGTGTGTGGGAGGGGGGGGGGGGGATTTGTGTGGTTGTGGGGGGGGGCATGTGTGTGTGTGAGGGGGGGGGGGGGGGTGCATATGTATGTGCGTATGTGTAAGTTTGTGTGTGGGTGTGTGTGTGGGTGTGTGTGTGTATGTGTGTGTGGGGGTGTGTGTGGGTGTGTATGTGTGTGTGTGTGGGGGGGGGGGGTTGTGTGTGTGTGGGTGTGTGTGGGTGTGTGGGTGTGTGCTGGAGGTACTTTACTGGAGCCATGGTCTTGCATGCAAGCGCCTTGAGTACGGCTAGCTTCCATATAAGGCGGACTCGACGTCGTTGCATATAATTATCCTCTGTAGAGGTTGTGTGATGACATCCTCAGTTGAGATGCCGTGGCGAAGTCGTGGACTCACAGCGGCACAGCCGTGCAATTGCACTGGCATTCATATTGTATACTTGCAGTGCCCATTTGAAAATTACATGCACTCGTATACCTGAGTCCATTGGAAAATCCGCCATGGAATCAAGATAGAGATTCGCATGACATCTACCGTAAAGTGGCGGATAAAAGCCGGGCTTATAAGCATATAAGCCGCTTTCTGCATCAGGCTTTAATGCAAACCAGGCTTGTATGCAAACCATGCCTATAATTATGCATCACTGATATTTTCGCCAGGCTTGTATGCACATGATCTATCACTGACTACCGGTATAGCGGCAGTTTTACTATGCACCGTACATAGCGCATGCACTCTTGACCTACCCGATCCGCGCTTGCATAGAAGCCAGGCTTCTACGCGCGACAGGCTTATATGCATTTGACCTGTTTGATTTTCAGGCTTCTATCCGCGATGTGCTTGTATGCAAACCCGGCTTTTATCCGCGACTTTATGGTACATTATCTCTGGGAGGGGGAAGGGGAGCAGAGGGGAGGGGAGGAGAGGGAAGAGGAGGGGGGGAGGGGTGTAATATCCACACCAGTATTTTGAACATGCGGTGCATGCAGGTTTGTTGCGCGAACCAGGCGACGACAGCAAGCCTGTCGGGACACAAATAGACACCCATCTGCCGATGACATCATGCAACATCTGCTGGGATGACAGCTATACCATAGCTCAGTGGTTAGAGCGTCGCTGGCCTCGAGCGAACGTCCCTGGTTTGAGTCCTGGTGGTGAAAGCCAATTTTGTCTTCAGACTTTTCCCCTTTTCCTCAGCTATTAAATATTAGACATAGGAGTCACGAGAGAGCTTGGAAGCTCAGGGCCCTACGCTATGCTTTTTTGCCTTGATGACCTAGACAAAAAAAGCATAGGGATGTTATAAATTCTTTAAAAAAATCCTTTTTTTAAGACATAACCTGGGATTCGAACCCGCACTATCGCGCGCCCTGCATGCATCCCCGATACACTTCACATACATACTAATTCTTCCAAGTTGCTTCACGTTATGATCTTGCATTTGAAAGCCCTATTTGAATATGCATTGTGGCCAGCCGTCTTTGATGGTACGGTACGGTACGGGATAGGTACGGGACAGGTACAATCGAGGGTAATACGACACCGTCTACCGCCTTGATGACGGCAAAAAAAGCATAGGGATGTTAAAAAAATTCAGTTCTCCTATTTTTTTTTCAGACATATCCTGGGATTCGAACCCGCACTATCGCCCTACATGCATTCCCCCATACACTTCGCATTCATACCCATTCTTCCAAGTTGCTTCACGTGATGATCTCGTGTTTGAAAGCCCTATTTGAATAATGCGGCCAGCTGTACATGTATGTGGCCAGCTGTGTTTGATGGTACGGTACGGGACAGATACGGCATAGGGCCAGGCGTGACACAAACACACAAACAAACAAACACACAAATACCAAATTAAAGCTGTGTGGACCCTGGCTAGCGCCAGATGTTACTGAAGTAACGTCTTCTGCATAGTTACGGGAATTAATTTAATGTATTTATCACCCCCCACCACACACACACACACACATGGTTGTACTTTTAACCTGGTAGAATAATCAAAATACCCACCTTTCAGGGCATGAATGCTGGCAATACAAGAGAGGAAAAGATGTGAACGATTTCCTTAATACTCGATGTTCTTTTTTGGCAATACTAGTACTCTTTTGATTTCATTTTCTATGCTTTCACCCCCAGATAATTGCAAAAACTGTACCCGTCATGAAGAGTGCAAGAAACAGGGACATGGCTGGACCTGCTTCGGTAAGTTGTGATTAATGTGCAACGTCTTGCTGTATGGGAAAAGTGAATGACAACAGCAAAAAAGATGGGATTTGCGATCAACGAAGCCAAGAGTACATACCCCCCCCCCCCCCCCGAGAGTATGCAACTCGACTATGGGTGCTGTCCCGACAGAATTTCAAGTTGACGTCCTCTTTATGATGCAATTCGTACAGCACACGGATTGTAAGACGAATCAGGAACCTGTGGTGGACCAAAGCCCATCTGATCCTGTACAAATTATTGCAAAGAAAAACGTGCGCTGCGTTGACACCCGTACACATGTTGTAAATCACTAGTGCAAGGAGCATTGCATCATAAATAATGACTTCAACTTGAAATTCTGTCGGGACAGCAGACAGTATGTGGGAGTTGCACACTCTGGGGGGGGTTATACACTTTTGAAGACGCCAAATCACAACTGAGCCCCAGTCAACAGATAAAGTTCCTAGGAATCGAGCTCAACTCGATGATAAAGTTTTGTGAGTTTTTGTTTTACTTTATGGGGGAATTTAGAAAACCCCCGACACAAGCATAACACATAGTTCTTTGATTGGTTCACTGACCGGTTTCACTGTTTATCACACATCATCAGAGTGTCATGAAAAAGTAATCAAAGTAACACAATTTATACTGGAAAGGCGGTTACCCGCAAATGTAACTATAGTACAAGTGGGCCACCAAAAAGCGAGGGGCCCCAAGTGCGGGGGGTCCTATACTATGACTAAGGGGGGTGATTATATGTGCAGCTCCAGCCCGGGCTGGTCGACAGGCGGGCCAGCTCGCCTGTAACGGGATCTCGGGGTTGTACACAAATCCACACAAAACCTGTGGTGCGTTTACATGGCAAGCGGGCTGGCCCGGCGAGGCGGGATCCCGCCTCGAGGCACCCGGGATCCCGGCTAGGCGGGCCACAAAAAGCACATATAAACAGACCAGCCCGGGCCAGAGTTGTATTATTATGGTATCGACACTGCGTTCATACTACAAAATAGGTACTTTTACCTCTTGAGGGAAGTTATAAAGAGGATTCCCGATATTGTCTTGAAAATCTAGGAAGCTTTTTGTACAGCAACAAGAAGGACGTGCAATGAGCACTGTTTATTTGTCGACATGCATGATTTACATTAAAATGGAAGGGGAACTACTTGCGAAATACTTTGATATGGACAGCTAAAAATGTGAAAAACAGGAAAAAGAAACGAGGTGATACAACACACCAAACATGTGTCACAGCGCGAAAAGAAATCAGCAGAAGCATACATTGTGTGAGAAAAAAAGTTTTTATGTTTATAACCTGAGTATGGCTTGCAGCCCTGCGTCTCAGCCCGGGGCAGCGCATTACAGTCGTAGTGTGTTTGCTGCATACTCACAACGGGCTGGCATGTGCTCAGCGCATATAAACTCACTGCGGACTGGCGACCAGCCCGGCCTTGCACATGTAAACACCCTTGGCGGGCTGGCCCGCTTGCTCCAGCCCGGGCTGGAGTTGCACATATAAAAGGCCCCTTAATAGAAAATGCGTATGTGTAATTGGAATTTCTCAGAAATCTACAACTGTGTACATGCCATGCAAAACGTTGTATTATGCCAAAATGGATAATTTTGTTGTATTAGGCCAAGAATGGATAATCATGTTGGTCTGGCTAGTTGCATGCAAGTTAATTAAATAGTACAAATAGTACAAATGGTACGAATTATTTGTACAAGTCAATATTTGGTAGTGACAACAAATTTGTTGACACTACCAAAATGCAGGACAGGGCCTGCACTGAAGAAATATTTAACTGTGGATTTAGAGAAAGGAGAGCAATGACTTAGTGGAAGAGTTGTTTTGTCTTACGGTAGAATATTTCAACATTGTATGGTGAGAATATACCTTGTAATAATGAGCGAATGTCGTTTTGGACAAAATGAGGGTGATAAGAAGTAGAGAAAGTGATTTTATCACTAAACAGTTTCTTCTTACTGCTCGAACTCTTCTTTGCAGGAATAGTAGGAGTTGCTTCGACTGTATTGAAAACGGAAGCTAGAAAATCCTGAGGGTAACCCCTGAGACGGAGTCTGGACCAGAACAACTTGCGAATAGATAGAATATCATAAAGTTCAGTGTTAGTCCGATTATATCTATACAATTCAGCCTTGATGAAAGAGCGGAAGTTTGATCTTGGATGATCTGACTTAAAAGGAATGTAAAGATATGCATTGCATGGTTTTTGATAGGTACGATACTTCAGTGTGCAAACATTTGTCTCAGAAAATTTGAATATTTCTAAGTCAAGAAAAGAGCAATTCTCGTGTGGAACAGACCAAGCCAATTTGATATCTGTCAGATCGGAATACAATGTTTGCTTTAACTGTTCAACAACGAGTGTATCATCAATAACAAGAAAGAGGTCATCAATAAGTCTGGCAAAGAAATGCACAGAGTGTCTGATTGACTATTTGTGTCAGCAAGCACCGTGAAAGCATGTTTGCCAATAAGAGATTTTAAGTGGAAGTCTACAAAACGTGAAGCAGGTGATGTACAATACCCGATACAGGAAACAATTGGTCTACCTGGGACCAAGTCATCAACTAGAGGTTTATGTATCTTGGGTAATATGTAAAATTTAGCTGCTTTGAAAGGAAAGTTATTGAATAAAGCTTTCAAATCTCATTTGCTAAGTATGGCAGAATATACTTTGCAAATGCCATTCAATTCGTTCTGTAAACGATTGTCTAATAATTGAACATTAGTTGAGGCAACAGATTCATCCGTAGAGGAATAAATCAATTTCTAAAACTTTTCATCAGAAAGTTGTCTATAGCACTCAGCTTGATAGTCTTCTATATTAAGAACGACTGTACCTAGGTTCTTATCTGCTTGACAAATGTTAATGTCAGAACGAATTCGCAAGGTACTATAAGCTTCTAGTTCACCAAGCGTTAAATTACAATTACGATGTTTGGAGAACATTGAACAACTAGAAACTAACTTATGGCGAAATTCTAGCAGACCTAGTTCAATGTGAGGAAAAGCAAGTGGAGGAACTTTATCAGATCTTAAATGGAATTTTGGAATATATGCAGAAGCAGACGCTGTAGGAGCTGATCTACAAAAATGATCTTTCCATCTAATTCGTTTTTCTAGCTTTTCAAAATCAGAGTTCAATTTATCAGAAGGAGGAAAGCGTGTGGTCAGGCGAAAACTATCACCATAATACTAAAACTTGTTTTTCAATGGGTGTGAAAGAAAAGTGCGAGAGGTTATGAAAGCCAGAATTGATAACGTATCTAGAATGCTTATGTATGCTAAGATTGCAAATATATTGATATCTTAAGTCACTTAGCGTTTTCTGGTTTTTCGTCGGACAGCAACCTCTCGTCTGCCTGACTTGTTCTTCACGATTGACAAGTTGTTTGACTGTTTGGCTTTCTTAGGAGTTGGCTTCTTTTCAGTCTTCTTTTCAGTCTTTTTTAGGGCTGAAGCGACTTCTCTTTTGATTAAGCAACCAATCTCTTCTGCAGTTGGTGGAAGTGTTACAACCTCATCTTGCATAGCAGTGGGCTTGTTAACTGAACGTTCTGCCTGACGCTTGCTTGGCTTTTAAAGTCTTTGCGAAGGCAACAGTTTTTCGCTTAGCTGCTAGATAATCGTACCTTGACATCAATAGAGTTGCAACGTCGGATGTAAGTTTCTCACTTGAGCACTGGGAGACCAAGTCGAAGAAATCTATACGGGCCTCTTTAAGGCATTTCTCCGCTCGTTCGAGCTTCGTATTGCGAGCAACAATGGCTGAATTGACGCATTCTGTGCACTCGATGAGGCAGGCTGCTCTAGACAGTTTGCAGAATTTCTCTGCTATAAAGTCATCGAAATCATTCGAGTTGATTTGCTTGTTCAGTGCTTCAATCTTTGATCGCTGCTCAGTAATGATCTTCTCACTAGTGTGAGTACGATTTAAACACCATGCCACATACCCTTCCAATTCCGGGTCTGGTAGCGGATTAGAGACAGCCAACAAGTTCGAAGTGTGGAAAGGCGGTTCCGATGTGGTGGTGAATGCAGCGTCATCGTCTTCCCGGCGGCGTTTGGAAGCAGCGGTGGCTGAAGAGGTAGCAGAGCTGACTGCTTGATGACGGGGGCCGAGCAAGCGAGGACGAGGAGTTTCCATGTTGGCTTGAGGGAGTCTTCAGTACTGAATCATAATGGGGGAGTTTAGAAAAACCCCGACACAAGCATAACACATAGTTCTTTGATTGGTTCACTGACCGGTTTCACTGTTTATCACACATCATCAGAGTGTCATGAAAAAGTCCATTGAAAGCATGTTTTTGGCTAAATTGTTGGGCAAAACTCACTACAAAATTTGAAAATTCAGGCTTCGCATCTGCTTCTCCATGCATTTTACCTAACAGTATAGGCCCCTCATGCGGATCTGAGGAGTTTATGCCCCTCGCGAAACCCCTCGTGCAGATCTGAGGGGTTTTTTAAGCCCCTGTGCGGACCTGAGGGGTTTATGCCCTTCGTGCGGATCTGAGGGGTGTATGCTCCTGGGCGAATCTGTGCTTGACTCATCCTTGGTTTCTGATTTTTCTGCCTTTATGCTTCTGTCCGTCTGTCCGTTTGCCTCCTGCGTCGTTTCTGTACGAAGACCGAGAAGCTGGTGAGTTAGGTTATCGTGGTTACCCTAGTGTCTTGTATTACAGCCTGTCCCATGTAGAAGCCTGTTCTGAATACAAACCTGATTTTCAAGATACACTGTTGGCACATAAGCCTGGTTTTAGTGTTGACACACACATAGATATACCTAGCTTGACTAGAAGTCTGATGTGAGTAGAAGCGTATCACTGACCTCGGCTTCCACAGGAATACGCCCGGCTTTAATACGCGACATTTATACGGGTATGAGAGCATATCCTTCTCGCTGAAAACACACACACACACACGTACATACACACATACACATGCATGCATGCGCACGCACACACATACACACATGCGCGCACACACACACACACACACACGCACACACGCACATGCACACACACACACACACACACACACACACACACACACACATGCACACACACAACCCCCCCCCCCCCCCCCCACACACACACACACACACACGTACATGCACACCACACAAAACACACATGCATTCCTGCATGCAAGCCTCAACGTACTTTCTTTTGTTCCGTATGCCTTGTTTTCTTAGAGTATCAGTGCAGACACCACCCTTGTGCAACTGGATACCGATGCCAAGCAAGGAGAGTTAATAATAATAAATTTCACCAAGACTGCAATGGTGAGTTGACGCATGTGTGCATGTGCATGTGTATGTGTGCATGTGTGTGTGTGTGTGTTTGTGTGTGTGTGTGTGTGTGCCAGCTAGTTCGGTTGGTGGGTACTCTTATGCCAGATAGTGTTGGGCCTGTTGCCAACGGGCTTGGCTGCTTGAAGGTGTATTGTTGTACCTACCACCTTTGTTGGTTTCAGGGTTCATATACTTTCTATTTGAAGTATACATACCTGTTAACCATGGACTGCTTCTGGCTAGATTAACTCTTGTGTAATCAATGGTGCTAGTTGTTGTAATTCAACGTTCTGCACACGATAGGAACTAAGGCACTCACAAAACACAACGGGTAATAGGTTTATCCATTACTTTACCATAGTATAGTAGAAGACTGGAGAGTCCTTAGACTCGAGCGGAATGAATGAAAATGATAGCAAGCTCAGGTTATATGCGCTCCAAGCGTTTGGTGCAACCGGATACAAAGTTAGCGTACAGCGCATGCGGACTTTAGATCTCTAGATGTACGCTACAGAGTGGCGTGCAGTTTTAGAGCAGCGAGCACAATTTTATTCTAGAGATGTACACAGAGCGCATGCGTCAAATTCAGTTTGGGGAAGGTTGCGTGTGAGCAACATGCAAATAAATTATGGGCGAAGACTTTGTAAACAACAGCCTTCGCTTGCAGCAAGAAGATAACTAATGTTTGTAAACATGAAGTATTATCATACCTTGCAAGAAAGGTGTCTCGGAGTGACCTAGACCTGGAGAAGTCAGGTACGTGATTTATGTATTTGCACAACATATTACTATCGTGAATATTTGAAGTATGCTCGAGAATTATTGAAATGTCTAACTATAACATTCCCTTCCCCTTCACAAAATAAAATGAAGCCTGAAAGTAAAGACGAAATCTATAAACATGAGCCCGAAACCCCGTCCAGTTACTTGCCGAAAGACGGGTTCTCAATTAAGCGCTCTGGTGGTCTAGAGACCCGAGTAGAACGTCGCAAAGAGACTGCTGGACTGGGTGTGTCTGGTTCAGAATCTATTGCTGTGCTTGCATCTGCAGACTCATTGTAGGTAACAGTACTAGAAGCGGGAAACGTAGCAGCTGTAACAGTAGGAGCGTTCTCAGAGCTATCCTCTGGAGTAATCAAATTATCAGGTATGGAGGGCAATGGACACTTACGAGCCGAATCAGCACTGTCGGCTGTATCACCGGCGGGATCTCGTAACCGTAAATGCTCAATATGGACATGACGGATGGTGGTACCACTCTCAACAGAGTAGGTCAGTGGTCCCAGTCTGGCTGCAATAACCGCTGGTGTCCATTTGTCATGGCGAACATCCTTGACCCAGACGCTGTCACCTGGCAGGAAAGCTCGCATAGCTGGCGCAGAGTCTTGCTTGGCCTGCATGTGCGTTGCAAAACTAGGATAGAGAAATGAGAAACGTGTGACGGGGACGAACTTCATAATTATGCTAGCTGGTGACGCGTGAGAGACAGAATGTGGTGTGTTTCTATACGAAAACAGGAATTGCGAAACAGCATCTTGAGGAGAATCATCTGATTTTGCAAGATGTTTCTTAAGTTCTTGTACTAGACGCTCCACCTGTCCATTGCTAGCAGGATGGTACGGAGGGGTTCTTTTATGCCGAATACCATTTTTCTGACAAAAGGTGGCAAATTCCATGGACGTAAACTGCGGACCATTGTCCGATACTAACATCAGCGGGATTCCGCAATAGCTAATGAACCGTTTCAAGCATGATAATGTCCGCTCAGTAGTAGTAGATTTGCCCATAACAAATACATCTGCCCACTTGGAGTACGCATCAATTATTAACAAGTAGTGCTGACCTTTGTATTCAGCGAAATCAAGATGAACCCTCTCAAATGGCCGGTTCGGGTAGACCCAGTGGTGAATGGGTGCCTTCGTTGGTGCTCGAGCCTGCTGTTGGCATAGACGACAATTCGCAGCAAGTTCAACTATGTCTTGGTCTAAGTGAGGCCACCAGAAGAAGGATCTAGCCACAGCTTTCATGCGAGATACGCCAAGATGATCAACATGCAACTCATGCAACAGACTGGAACGAAATACCAAGGGAAATACCAAGGGAATCACAACCCGCAAACCCCAGGTGATACATCCCTGCTCAACAGATAGCTGGTCTCGAATACGATAGTACGAGGAAAGACTGTCTGGGACACTGCTAGGCCAGCCATGTGTGATGTGGTGCATGACCTTACGTAGAGTGGGGTCAGCTGAAGTTGCCTTGCTAACATCGGTAGCGGATAATGGCAGATCATGACAAGGATCAACATTGACAGACTTAATGTAATCCGTGAGCTGTTGTTCCTGAAGCACAGAAAGCTGAACGGGCAAACGCGATAGACAGTCAGCAACAACATTATCAGTACCATTGATATGCTGAATGGAATATTGATACTCGGACAAAATAACAGCCCAACGTTGTAGACGTGCTGTAGTGACAGACGGAAGTTGATCGTGTTCACCAAAGATCTTCAATAACGGTTTGTGATCGGTGCGAAGGGTGAAGTGTCGTCCACACAGATACTGTTTAAGACGCTTCACGGCAAATACAATGGCAAGAGCTTCTCTCTCAATTTGCGCATAATTTCTTTCAGCAGCAGCCAAAGAACGAGATACATAAGTAACAGGACGCAAATAACCTACTTTGTCTGGTTGTAGTAGGCAGGCACCGATTCCCGTGGGAGACGCGTCGCACTCCAAGATGAGTGGTTTCTTGGGATCATAGTGAGCCAGTACGTTTGACGATGCTAAGATCTCCTTGCACTGGATGAACGCATGTTGACACTCGGGAGTCCAGTTCCATTCTGTACCCTTCTGAAGAAGACGGTTCAAGGGATACAACAACTGCGAAGCATTAGGGATAAATCGACCATAAAAGTTGACCAGCCCCAAGAAGGAGTGTAGTTCTGACGAGTTAGTGGGCTGTGGTGCTTTGGCTATAGCAGATACTTTGCTAGGATCAGCATGCAGCCCCTTGCTTGATACAATGAAGCCTAGATACTTGACACTCTCCTGGTTCAGCTCACACTTTGCTTTCTTCAGCTGTAATCCTGCCTTCTCAAATCTGTCTAGAACTTGACGCAACCGGGTATCATGCTCTGCTTGGTTGGTTCCCGTGATTAAGATGTCATCAAAGTACACGATGACCCCATCGATGCCAGCTAAGATCTGCTCTATAGTCTTTTGCCAGATTGATGGTGCTGAGGAAACGCCAAAGGGCAATCTCGTGAAAGCAAATAACCCTCGATGGGTTGCAATGACGCACAGTTTCTGACTGTCTTCGGACAATGGCAACTGAGTGTATGCTTGGCTGAGATCAACTTTTGAGAAAACAGAGGCCCCTGCAATGCTGGACAATAAATCACTGGGATTTGGAATAGGGTGTATGTTGCTTTCAATATGCTGGTTGATGGTGACTTTAAAGTCTGCACAGAGTCGTATAGAACCATCGGCTTTCTTCACAACAACAATAGGAGAAGCCCACTCTGAAGATTCTACCGGAACTAGAACACCCTCCTTAATCAAGCGATCTAATTCAACATCAACTTGCGGTTTCATGGCGTATGGCAACGGTCGAGCTGAGTAACACTTGGGAATTGCCCCGCTGGCAATGTGGATCACCGCCTCCGAGTCATGGATCTTGCCCAGACCACCTTCAAAAACGCTTGGGAACTCGTCTAATACAGACTCAGAATCAGACGTACGTGGAGCAGAAGAGACAGAACAGATGGTATGCCAATCCAAACGTATGTTAGACAACCAATTGCGGCCGAACAACGGGGTGGTGCCCTCTTTGACCACAAGAATCTTCTCCTGGACATGTTGCGACTGGTACTGTACATCGACACAGGCCTCCCCCACAACAGTTAAAGGTGCCCCCGAGAAAGTACAGAGTGCAGTCTTGGTGGCATTCAGTTTGACATCTCCCCACAACTGTTTCCAAAGAGCTTCAGGAATGATCGATAACTGTGCCCCTGTGTCAAGTTCCATGTTGAGGGGTTTCCCGTTTACATGTACATCAACTCGGAATTTGCCAGTGTGACTGTGCTGGGACCCAATATTGGCAATCATGAAATCTGAGCTTAGAGCTTCATCACATTGGTCAGGCAGTGAGACATGGTGAGTACCAGCATCCCTAGGTTGGGCATGCGATGATCTACTTGCATTACTACTACTAGTACCACCTTGAGATCTACAACAAACAGCATAGTGTCCAACCTTACTACACGTGTTGCATCGGCGGCGGCGTGCTGGGCAATCGTCAGCTGACGACGCGTGACCCACCCTGTTGCATCGCGTACATGGGGATGTTGACGATGTCGTAGAGCGTACGGCGTCGACGCTGCTCGGGCTGGCACTGACGCTTGACGCTGCCGTAGCCATAGATCTTACTTGAATGCCTGACGATTCTCGCACGCGAAACTTTTCCAGCAGCACCTGTAGGGTAAGGTTACTCTTGGACAGAAGAGAGCGTTGCAGATCGACGTCAATACAAGTGGCAATCATCTGATCACGAATATGCTCGTCATCTGCAGCAAATGCACAAAGTTTGGCCTGCGTACGGAGTCTGGTGCAGAATTGTGTGGCATTCTCTCCTACATTGGGTGACATCTGTCTGAAAACGTGCCGCTCAAAAGTTGGATTGACTGTATATGCGAAATGCTCATCAAGCATTCTTACCGCTTGTTTGAAAGCATTGTCATCCCCTGGTCTATCTGCCTGCGCAACCGGGTCTTCGAGATCTTCAAAGATCTCCTGAATCTGTAGGCCAGCCTTGTGCAACAGCATGCTGCGCTGGCGATCTGGGTCGGTGATGTCCTTGGCTTCGATGAAGTACTGGAAAGCCCGCCGCCATTTCTTCCAACGCTGTTGGACCTCACTTGCGTGCCCACTGATAACGAACTGGTCGATGGAGTCCTTGGACATGGTTCGGAAATTTCGTCGCCAATGTTGTAATTCAACGTTCTGCACACGATAGGAACTAAGGCACTCACAAAACACAACGGGTAATAGGTTTATCCATTACTTTACCATAGTATAGTAGAAGACTGGAGAGTCCTTAGACTCGAGCGGAATGAATGAAAATGATAGCAAGCTCAGGTTATATGCGCTCCAAGCGTTTGGTGCAACCGGATACAAAGTTAGCGTACAGCGCATGCGGACTTTAGATCTCTAGATGTACGCTACAGAGTGGCGTGCAGTTTTAGAGCAGCGAGCACAATTTTATTCTAGAGATGTACACAGAGCGCATGCGTCAAATTCAGTTTGGGGAAGGTTGCGTGTGAGCAACATGCAAATAAATTATGGGCGAAGACTTTGTAAACAACAGCCTTCGCTTGCAGCAAGAAGATAACTAATGTTTGTAAACATGAAGTATTATCATACCTTGCAAGAAAGGTGTCTCGGAGTGACCTAGACCTGGAGAAGTCAGGTACGTGATTTATGTATTTGCACAACATATTACTATCGTGAATATTTGAAGTATGCTCGAGAATTATTGAAATGTCTAACTATAACACTAGTGAAGCTTGTATCAGATCCACTCTGATTTAGCCACCCACACTAGTACCAAGTATTACCTTCACTGGGGGCAGGGGGTACCTGCAGTTGGATCCCGGGACGGATACCCTGATGCCGTCAATCCTTTTTTCTGCACCTTGTCCTCACCCACTTACTGAGGTGTGGTGAGCCCATAAGTGGGATCATTTCAAATCCACCCTAGTTTGGGGATTTCAGGGGGTGTCGGCCGTTGGTTGGTTCAATGGCCAATTGAGTCATCTTTCCAAGATTCCTTTTGAGTCTCTCTCCCCTCTCCCGGGGAGACCCTCGTGACCAGTTTTGGCAGTGAGCAAGTACAAGTACAAGTGTGTGTGTGTGTGTGTGTGTGTGTGTTGTGTGTGTGTGTGTGTGTGTGTGTGTGTGTGTGTACGTGTGTGTGTGTGTACGTGTGTGTGTGTGTGTGTGTGTGTGTACGTGTGTGTGTGTGTGTGTGTGTGTACGTGTGTGTGTGTGTACGTGTGTGTGTGTGTGTACGTGTGTGTGTGTGTGTGTGTGTGTGTGTGTGTGTCCCATATGGTGCAGTGGTATGTGCAGCAATTTCCAATCGATAGATTGCGGGTTCGATTCCCGACGATTATGGTCACACACGTCTTTCTTCTCTTTCTCAGACTCTTCCTGACTTTTCTTTCATTCTCCTGGGTGGTTACCAACAGCCAGTGCATGCCGGAGTATGTGGTGTGATGTGTGTGCGGGAAAAAAAAATGAAAAAGACCAAAAAAGGGATTCACTGGCCAGAAAATGTCACTCCAAATAGCTGTATGGTGTAGACCAGGCTGAATAGTGACGGTCAATTCTTCAGCCTTGCAAGCTGTTGAATGGTGTAATCCCAGCACAAGTTGCTATGGCTTCTGCCGTAGCATTGCTATCATCGCCTCCGGCGATGGGCGTCAAAGGTCAAGGTCAAGGTGTGTGTGTGTGTGTGTGTGTGTACGTGTGTGTGTACGTGTGTGTGTACGTGTGTGTGTGTGTACGTGTGTACGTGTGTGTGTGTGTACGTGTGTGTGTACGTGTGTGTGTGTGTGTGTGTGTGTGTGTGTGTGTGTGTGTGTGTGTGTGTGTGTGTGTGTGTGTGTGTGTGTGTGTGTGTGTGTGTGTGTGTGTGTGTGTGTGTGTGTGTGTGTGTGTGTGTGTGTGTGTGTGTGTGTGTGTGTGTGTGTGTGTGTGTGTGTGTGTGTGTGTGTGTGTGTGTGTGTGTGTGCGTGCATACAGTAAAACCTGTAACTAAAGACCACCGTGACTAGCGACCAGCCTGCTACTACCGACCACTTCACCAGGCACGGAAGGTCTCACATTCAAAATGCACTGTGACTAGCGACTACCTGCTGAACGCGACCAGCGACCACCTTTTCCAGTCCCAAAGACAATTTTTGACCCGTAACTAGCGACCGCGATGTAGGAAATCAAATGTTGCTCGAAACTCCTTCTTGAAATTTTGCTGATTTTCCATGGTCCTGAAAGGAATCTTTCGATACTACAGCTGAACAAATGAACGCAGGTAATTTTGGCTGTGGAGTCGGTGTGGACTGCACTACACCTGTCAAAATTTCAAGCGCTGTCGAGAATAAACATGATAGGAAACGTCTTGGAGAGCGCATCGAAAGCGCACTCTGACCGATGTTACTACTCTGAGGAGAAACGAAGACTGGGCGGCTCTGTCACCCCAGTCATACAGACGGATCGACGATGGCATCAAGGAATCCAAAAACAAAGCAGCACCACAAGGTCCTGATGCTGAAGGATCGCGTTCAAGCAATCGAGAAGTCACAACAAGGACAGTCGGTACGATTGATCGCATAAACAAATTTGAAGCCCAGCGCAAAACGAAACTTCCCCAGGGAACGTTTGACTCCTGGCTTCAGAAGTAGCAGCTGAATTTGGAGTCTGCAAAAAATTAATCTTCTCTCTCTCTCTCTGTCTCTCTCCATCTCTCCGTCTTTCTCTCCAAGTGTTGTTTGACCTGACATAAGAATGACATTGCGCAAGTCCTAGGGGTATTAGCTGCATTTTGACATACATATCATATAATGGGATCCATATAATTATGGTCACGCGGTGCAAACCTCTAACTAAAGACCACCTGCTACTAAAGACCGCTTTTGCTGGCACCAAGGGGTGGTCGGTAGTCACATGTTTTACTGTATGTGGATGTGTGTGTGTGTACGTGTGTGTGTGTGTGTGTGTGTGTGTGTGTGTGTGTGTGTGTGTGTGTGTGTGCGTGTGTGTGTGTGTGCGTGTGTGTGTGTGTGTGTGTGTGTGTGTGTGTGTGTGTGTGTGTGTGTGTGTGTGTGTGTATGTGTGCGTGTGTGTGCGTGTGTGTGTGTGTGTACGTGTGTATGTGTGTGTGTGTGTACGTGTGTATGTGTGTGTGTATGTGTGTGTGTGTGTGTGCGTGTGTACGTGTGTGTGTATGTGTGCGTGTGTGTATGTGTATGTGTGTGTGTGTCGCCTTCTTGGCTCTTCGTATTTCGCCCAATATGAGCTCTTCTCCAAACATATACGTATCCATGTGTGAAGTGTGGGTGAACTTGATGTGCAAATGTCGAGATACAGTCAGACCTCGCATAACCGCACACATCCGTTTTCCACGAAAATATCCGGATAGGCGAGGGAACCGGATAATTGAACACACATACTGTATGTATGCAAGGCATATGCTGTAAATCGGTAACCAACGATTTTCTTCCAGATGGCGACAGGTCCAGATAAAAGAGGACCAGATAAGTGAGGTCTGACTGCAGCACTACAGTATATTGTTAGGAAGTTTGAAGCTGTGAATAAGATGAACTGTGCGCTCATAACAACACCCGTTTGGTCTGCGATACAAAATAAAATCTCAACAATCAAAATGAACATCAAAATGAAGAAATAGATATCCCAGTTTTTCTTCTTTTTTTCTTATTGTGATGTTGTTATGACTTATCAGTGCACAATTAATCTTGTTCCTTGCCATTTTGCGACCTTTGTCTCCTCAAAATTCTGCGCATGCCTCACGCAGCTTCATTTGAGATATTCACTCATAGGAAACCTGACCGACACTCAAATAATTTGTGTCTCCTCGTCGGCTAATTATGTTTAAAACTGTTTTTGTTTTTTTGTTTTTTCACTATGTTCACATACCCAACTCGTAAATAATGATGGAAGACAATGGTACTGAGACTAGTGTGCGTGTTGTTTTCTTTACATGACCTCCCCGCACAGATATCAATGAATGCCAAGAGGGCACACACAACTGCCCACACGAGTGTACTAATACAGTTGGAGGCTTCCACTGCAGTAAGTCTCGGTGCTGTTAAAATTATAATTATGTAATCATGTACATGTATTACATACTCTTGTTATATGAGCCAGGGACTACAGAAACCACCCTATGGCATTTTTTGGCGAAAATTTTTTTTTCTCTCAAAATGTTGGTATGGTATGGTAATGTGCTCAAACAAAATTTCAAGTTGATCTGCGATGGTAAAATGTGCCTAACCACCTATTTAATAATGGCATATCAATTGAGCAATATAGAGCAAATTTATGTACACGGTATGTAATGTTCTTTGTATATCTTCATTCTTGCTACTACGTAGTAGTTAGGCAGTTCAAATGTATAGTGAACTATGCCCTCAGCTTCATCCAGTGACGCCTGCGCGCCGTCCACTAAATCTCGGTAGTACTGCCGCTCCTCTTGTGCTAGCGATGTGTGCGAACACAGGGCCTGGACACTACATTTCGTCTCTTCCTCTGTACGGGCGACACGAATTTTGTACCGCAGATTGTCACACAGTGCGCATACGTCTGTCCTTGGCTTCATCACTTTGATGTGTGCTGCCTGTCTCCTCCAAATGTGGCAAAATGACCTGTAATGAACAGGCGAATACTGTGTGACGGTCTTGGTGTAGATGTATGCAGACTTCTTGTGCTCGGATGCTGGTAAGTATACTGGAGGGTCCTCAGCACGACCTCGCTCCGCTGCAGGTTGAGGTAGACCGTACATGTTAGCATAATTATGACTAAATAAACTGCACTACATCCTGCTCTATGTCTGCTGAAATGGCCAAGTGCTCTGGTGTTCTCCCAGTCAAGCCATGTTGTGCCAGTTGAACGACTCCTTTGTTTGCCTTTTTTGAAGGCGCTTCATTACATGACTTCCAACAGCATGAACTGCCATGAACACGTCCTTGCACAACTCGTAACCACGTACATGATAGCGGAAATAGAAAGGTCGATCACACCGCCAGTCATCGACTTTCGCATGCTTCCAGTCAGTGCGCCCAGAACAAACTGCTTGAACTGTTGAAGCGCTTTTTCGATTCTCGCAGTTTAGAGACTGCAAATATGTAGTCCTCGAGCTGCTGCTCTGGGATGACTTTCCAATGATTCTTCGACTTGCATCCACAGCCTCTCTCAATCCCATCGCGTATGTCCGAGGAGACCACGCTTCACCTGCTCCGTCGTCGGTGGCTCAGGTGCGGGGGTATCTGGTTCGTCATCCGATTCCGAGTAGTCGGTGTCACTCTCCGCGTTTGAAATTTCCGAGCTGTCGGGGCTTGGCGTTTTCGACACAACACTAGCAGCACTCGAGCTTGCTGTGACTCCATACGTCTTCTTCTTAGGTGGTATATCATCGCCGTCGCTGTCAGCATCGGTGTCGGAATCGCTCGCCGACGACTCGCGGGTGCCAGCGCTGAATCCGTAAAAATTCTCGTCGTCCGATTCAAGCGCCTTCGCATCAGGGACTAGTCGACTCCACACAGAATCGAGCTGCGTCGTCTACTAGATGTTGTAGCCATAATCAATCACAGTAAGTGGAGCCTCATGAGTTACTCGACAATCGCTCGAGCTCGGAATCCTTCCCCGACCACCTAACAAGACGAGAGACGGAGAAGCTCTTGAGTCTTGTCAAAACAAAAGTGACGAGTTCTGCGCTTCGCGTAACTAACTTTGAGTCGCGTGACTTTGAAACGTCATAACTTGATTTTGATATCAAACGTCGTAGGGCGGTTTCTATAGTCCCTGGCTCATATATGTACTCTTGTTACTCAATCTGCGGACAGAACTGTTTCGTCCTTTGTGGACTCGTCAGCGCAGCACAGAGGAAATGAGGCCGAACCTGCTAGCAATGGAAATAAAAATTTCCAATCAGGCCTGGCGTACCTTGCCAGAGTGCTCAAACTGACAAGTCAGTGAGCTCTGCATAATGCAAACAGCAAAGGCACCACCCCACGCAAGAGTGCTCAACTGCTACAAGAGCAGGAGCGAAATACTCAATCTGCGGACAGAACTGCTTCGTCCTTTGTGGACTCGTCAGCGCAGCACAGAGGAAATGAGGCCGAACCTGATACAGGTAGACTCCCTTTAATTCGAACCTCAAATTGCCAGGCCCTAACTTCTAATTATCGGGAACTTCTAATTATCCAAATGCAGCCCCATGTACTGATATGTATGTCAAAATGCTTGAAATCGCATGCTGAATATTTTTTGCACATTTTTATTTGCATCAACGAAACATAGGTGGTCGACTGGTCGTACCGGTCGTGTACAACGGATCATCAAAACATTGGATCGACACAAAATCATTTTGACATCTTCATTTCTAGTGAAGAAGTAAGTTGTCAGTCACTGCAGCTTTCCTGAAACAGTTTCAACGGAAAAGAACTGCGCTGCCTAATCCGCGTCATGAAAGGCCGTCGGACAGCAGCACGTCGTTCTGAAGAACGGAAGTGGAGCATAGGCATAGACAATATTTACGACAATAGTGTTTTTGTGCGCCAACATCTCCGCGCACGAGCTGGCGCGGCACGAAAGGCCATCGAGATCCGCGAAGAGAGTCGGCCACCTGGAAGACGTCGTCTTCAATCAAACCTTTGCAATTTGCCTCGCACGGGCTTGAAAGAAATTTCGAGAGAAGGTGGGTTTCTTGAACGCTATAGTCGATCCTGCAGCGGACCATCGATCGATTTTTGAGCTACTCTTGGCTAGAGAAGGAGAAAAGAATGAACTTCGAATTACAAGGATAGCAACTCAATCTCACTTCGAAATAAGCGTTCAAAGGACATAGCCAATGTACTGTAAACAGCTCTTCTGTACGAAGACTGGGTTCGAATTATCCAACCGGCGCACTTTTCGTACTTCGAATTATGCATTCGATTTTGACTTGAAGTGACTTGCAGAAGATCGGTACGACGAAAAAGTTCGAATTACACGGAATGTTCGAATTATACCGTATTCGAATTAGAGGGAGTCTACCTGTACAAGTGGAAATAAAAAAAATTATGTACTCTTGTTATAATATATGTACTCTCGAGTATTTCGCTCCTCGATCTTGTAGAGCACTCTCAATAGAACACACTTGCGCTGGTTAGCTTTATGCTTTGCCCGCTGCTTCTAGCAGTTTGAGCACTCTCAGCGCTAGTATATCGAGCTGTCCTAATGTCTGTGGTTCTCGTAGCCATGGCTGACAGTTCAATCCTATTTTAAGCTCGGAATTGCACTGATGAGGCCTCATTGGCCGAAACAGTCTGGCGGTCTGCATCATTGAGTACTCTTGTTATATATGTACTCTTGTTATATATGTACTCTTGTTATATAGACAGTTGTCTAAAGTCCCTAGGCTGCTTACAGTGCTCAATGCCCACTGGACAGAGCAAGTAATACAAATATTACACAGCAATGAATCGAACACGTCTCATTCCGCTGTAACTCCGAGTTTCGTGTCAAAACACTTCATTTTTATGCTGTCTGATGAGGTGTTTTGACACGAAACTTGGAGTTACAGCGGAATGAGACGTGTTCGATTCATTGCTGTGTAATATTTGTACTCTTGTTATATACATGTACGTAGGTACATGTAGGTACCTGACTGTATGCACTGTATCAAGAGTAGATAAACAAGAGTGTGCAACTCCAGATCTCTTCTGCACAATCTGCAGATACCCCCGCCCGCGGCGGAATTTTTTGTTGACGTCACCTTTTTTTCAGAAGAACGCGCATTTTTCCCCAGAGCGGTGTGAGAGCACGTGCTGGGCACCGACTTTGCAATGTAAAGCCCGACCAAGTGCACGAGGCGAAACTTTCCAAAAGACTCGCAGCGCGTGCATCGTCGAAAAGATTATGTCAACAAAACATTCCGCCGCGGGCCAACCCATCCCGGAGTTGCACACTCTTGTGTATCTACTCTTGACTGTACTCATGTGTACTGTGCATAGTAGTAGTAAGATATCTACTTCCGCAGCACCGGCATGATCACACTGTGCGTGCTCTTGTTCAGGGGTTTTCCCCCAGCCCGCTTATGCTGGCTGGATGCATGTATGCATGGGGATGAGGATGCAACAGGTGTGGTTGTGAGCTTGAGCACAGTACAGTCGGGTGCCGTAGAACTGGGGGGTCAGGGTTCTAGCCTAGCCCGTTCTTGTTAGCGAACACAGCAGTTTCGTTCTTATTCGATGGTACAGTCTTACATGTACATTTATGCAGAGTTATACGTCTGAGTGTACATTATAGTGTACATTACGGTTCCCACCCTTATCTGCAAAAAATCCAGCCTAAACTGTTCTTTAATTGGTGAAATTCTAGCCTGGCGGTTCTTCGGCGGCCCGTTCTTCGCCGCCCGATAGTACTGTAGGAGTTGTGCGAGGTTTCAACGCGAATTGCCTTACCGTATATTCTCTATTATAAGCACAGGTCTCCATTACTAGCACAGTCTCTAATACTAGCACACTGTGAGCACCTTTCGAAACATTATAAGCACAGTCTCTATTATAAGCACGGTCTTGGTGGAAATCAATGCTGCATGCATGATATCTCGCATGTATTTCTTCTTGATCTGTATGGATGCATTGGTTGAAAAAATATAAGCACGGTCTCCAATATAAGCGCGGTCTCCATTATAAGCGCGGGGCAGAGGGGTTGATAAATATGGTGGTAAAGACACACCTGGCAATATGGCGGTAAACACACGCCTGCCCACACACGCTCTCTAGGCTGCAAAGTTCTGGCACAGAGCTCTCCTCAGTCTCACCACCACCACCATCAGTTCGCGCCTGGCGCCTGGTCGATGCATGGCTGGCGGTATCCGGCATAGCAGGCTGGTACATCAAGTAGCGCATGGCACATAGATGATGACGCAGCAACGACATAGCTCGATTGCGACGTACGTTTCGTCCCCGCTGGACTCATCAGGCAATCTTCTTCTTGGATGTCTTTACCACCATATTTATCAACCATAAGTACAGCTGCAGTGGTGTCTTCAACTTCATTCTCCCGGGCAGAGGGGTGTTGAAAAAATATAAGCACAGCGCTTATAATAGAGAATATACGGTATTGTAATTACGACTTTCCTTCTCAGCTGATTTCTGCAATGAAACTCCCTGCGAAGATGATGAAACATGCGAAGTGAAGATGGTCTATAACAAGCCAATGCAAGTATGCAGAAGAGGTAGGTGTGTTTGTGCACTGACTTGATTTACATCTTACATGTTTGTGTCATGTGACTAGATTTGTGTGGAAAGCGATCATGGCATGGCAGGGGGGGGGGGGGGGGGTGTAACTAACATGGCCGACATCATGTGACCACCAACATGGCCGACATCACGTGACCCATAGATACAGGGGCTGAGTGGAGTTGGAACCAACATGGCCGACATCATGACATGTGACACATAGATACAGGGGCTGAGTGCCAGTGGAGTTGGAACCAACATGGCCGACATCATGTCATGTGACCCATAGATACAGGGGCTGAGTGGTAGGCCTAGCCCGAATTTGCCGGCAGTACTGGCTGATTTTCTTCTCATGCCATGAGGTGTTGTCTATAATAATAATAATTCTTCCAGCAAAATATCGAAATTTCCCACGAAAAGAAATTGCCAGCAAATTCCGAGCAAAATATCAAATTTATAGAGGATCCGGGTGTGTTTTGGTAATTTTATTCTAATTTCTTTGGTTTCATTGGGCCAACGTCGTGCTGAAATAGCTCGTGCAGGTTGTCAGGGGTACATAAATTTGAAATCATGATACAAAATCCGTAATACTGACACCATTTTCAGTTTTGCTTTCCTCATCAGAGTCACCATCCACTTTTACCAAAGTAGACATTCGAAGCTATTTTTGCCACAAAGCAGGAGCAAAAAAAATTCACGGTTCGCGTCAGACTCGGTTTCTCTGTATAGAGGCCGAGTTTTCCGCATCCGTAGGAACGCCACCACCCTTCAAGGATCAAGGCGCAGATGCAGCTCCTAAAGAGCAAAATGGAGCAAAATATCGGAAACGAAAGGCAATGCCAAGCAAAATATGGAAAGTGCTTGGGCAAAATTTGCCGGCGAAATATCGAAGCGCCCCGAGCAAATTTGGGCTAGGCCTACTGAGTGGAGTTGGAACCAACATGGCCGACATGATGACATGTGACCCATAGATACAGGGGCTGAGTGCCAGTGGAGTTGGAACCAACATGGCCGACATCATGACATGTGACCCATAGATACAGGGGCTGAGTGGAGTTGGAACCAACATGGCCGACATCATGACATGTGACCCATAGATACAGGGGCTGAGTGGAGTTGGAACCAACATGGCCGACATCATGACATGTGACCCATAGATACAGGGGCTGAGTAGAGTTGGAACCAACATGGTCAACATGATGACATGTGACCCATAGATACAGGGGCTGAGTGCCAGTGGAGTTGGAACCAACATGGCCGACATCATGACATGTGACTCATAGATACAGGGGCTGAGTGGAGTTGGAACCAACATGGCCGACATGATGACATGTGACCCATAGATACAGGGGCTGAGTGTCAGTGGAGTTGGAACCAACATGGCCGACATCATGACATGTGACCCATAGATATAGGGGCTGAGTGGAGTTGGAACCAACATGGCCGACATCATGACATGTGACCCATAGATACAGGGGCTGAGTGGAGTTGGAACCAACATGACCGACATCATGACATGTGACCAATAGATACAGGGGCTGAGTGCCAGTGGAGTTGGAACCGACATGGCCAACATCATGTGATAGATGTACCCGGGTCCCGGGGAACATGTCAGCAAGCTTGCTCGATTTCTTACGATCTCGATCGCCTTCGTCAAGATCATCATGACCAAATGAAAGTACGAAAAGAGCAATTTTCCGGCATCCATCAAGGTGCAGGTAACGTCAGATTATGAGGTGTACGCACAATGAATCATACACTAATCACTGTTCACTAAAACACGTTGATACTCTAAGAGCAGTACAGTCAACAGTGCGTATAACGACACCCGGCGGGGCATCAGAAAAGTGAAAACTGTGTGAAAAGTATTCGCGAAGTGTCCTTATACCCGAAGTCCCATTGTATGTACATGTATTACAGTTAGATGGGACTTTGCTCTGGGCATGGAAATTCTGTCGTTATTCGCGAATTGCGGTTAAATCCGCAGTCGTTATTAGCGAAGTTGACTGTAGTATACTCTAAAGGCAGCAGTATTGGTAATTCTTTGTTAGTGAATTTCTTAGTCTGCCGGAAATGTTGTTCTGCCTATCAAGCGGGACATGCAGGGTATGTAAATTGTGTGTGTGTGTGTGTTTGTGTGTGTGTGTGTGTTTGTGTGTGTGTGTGTTTGTGTGTGTGTGTTTGCGTGTGTTTGCGTGTGTGTGTGCCTGTGTCTGTTTGTGTGTGTGTGTGTGTGTGTGTGTGTGTGTGTGTGTATCTGTGTACATTTATTATATTCAGTCGGTCGCGCGTAAAGCTTCAAGGTGGGCTCCACTCCACCGAGACCGTATTTTCACATATCCTAAATGTTTGCAAGCCACAATATTGTCTTCAATTCTCCTTCTTTTCATCTTCCATCTTTGGTCCAATGTCAGTCAAGCATTTCAAGCCGCCTTTGCAAGGATGTGGTCATGTGCAATGTGTGCTGGGCCGCGGATTGTGTGTGTGTGTGTGTTTTTTTTAATGATTGTGATGTGAGCGAGTTGTTAGCCAGGGGGTCGGCAGATAATAATACAGTCATCTCTCTTTAGCTAATCCAGCACTTTATAAACCAGCACAATTTGTTGTCACCAAAATGTCCTTTTCATGCACATTGCAGCAGTAAATCAGATCTTCTAATCCTGCACCCTCCCTAACCCAGCGGAATTTCCGTAGCACAAAATGGTGCCGGGTTATAAAGGGACTGCTGTATTTTGACGATTCCCTGTTGTCAGCATAGGGTCCGGCGGATTCTGCCGGCAGAAAAATTGGCAGAATTCGGTACTTTTTCTGGTAAGTTTCATGCATGTTTGGTATGTGGATAAAAAATGGAGCAGAATTCGAGGAAATGCCCGCCATAAGGTTTGTATGGTTCTGCCAATTTCACTGCTTTTCGAGCAGAATCTGCCACCTTTTCGAGCAGAATCCGCCGGTCCCTATGTCAGCACTTTCGACTGACCAGAAGCTGTTGCTGGTCATCATTTGAGTGGTGTCCACATCTGGTGCAGCCTGTACGGTCACGGCCGAACCAGGCTGGTTCATTTCAAGGTACATGTACATGATTGTATACATGTGTACATCATTATGCATGATTTTAATTCCGATGATCTTTTAGGCCATGGTAAAAATTTTCTTTGATTCTCAAGTACGCGCGCACCGATTTTTGGCGGCGCACCGACGAATTTTTTTAATTCTATGCATGCATATGCGCGCATGAAAGCGGTCAATGCGAAAGACATGAGTAGTAAAATACCGGTATTTTTCTACTCCCTGGCCTGAATAATATGAACATGTGACCATGTACTATGTGTGACCCTATCTTTGGAAATAAAAAAAATTGTGGGAAATAAAATTAAAAAAAATAAAACGCTCGCTCGCACCGCCATTCACAGGCTCATGACCTGAGAATCAACTTTATTTTTTACCATGGCCTTAAGGGTCAGGGGGGGGGGAGAGGAGCGGTGGTGACAGCGGGTGAATTCCCCTACTGAGTTGGGACTCCCATTTCTGTCCGCCGCGAGCGCTGGCCCGGTAGTTAGGGGTCGTCCATAAATATCGAACTTTTTTCACAAATAATCTGCGAGGAGATCATAGTGTTAATATAGTTATGAATAGGATGAAGGCGGCAGACATCACGCAACTACGTTACTTGTTCGATATGTATGTGTATTTTATAGCAATAATATAGAAATCCGGAATCGATTTTCTCGTTCCAATCATCAGTGGGGAAAATACGGAACTCTTAAAAGGAGAGTTCGGACAAACGTCACTATCACGACACTGCATGCTTTTAAGAAACGAAATATTCAGTGAAATGCAATGACAAACATACACGCGACAACACTCAATCTGCGGACAGCAAGCTGTTTCGTTCTTTGTGAACTCATCAGCGCAGCACAGAGAACCTGATAGCAATGAAAATAAAATTTTCCAAAGCCAGATTTAAACCAGGCCCGAACGTGCCTTGCCAAAGTGCTCAAACTGACAAGTCAGTGAGCTCTGCGAGACAACAGAAAGACATTCTGAATAATGCCCTGCGAAAGCGCCATTTTGTCAATGCATTTTACTGAATACATGTATTTCGTTTCTTAAAGTGTCGTGATAGTGGTTTTTTTTCCAAATTCTCCTTTAGTTCCGTATTTTTTCCCAACTGATGATTAGAACGAGAAAACCGATTCTGGATTTCTATTAAAAAAATCACAAAACGAAATAATTTTGTTATGGGGTGGGAGGGGGTTGACCGATTTCTTTTCAGAAAACATTGATACATGTACATGGCCATAGGAGCAGTGACACACTTGTACCAGTTTTGTTGTATTCTTGCATGCATATGTCAACATCTTTTTTTACTTTCTGAGAGGGAGGGATGGGTTGGGTCTAAACTGAAAAAAGTTCGATATTTACCGACCGGGTCCCTTATTGTGGCACTCGTCACAGCGTCAAAACGTATGTACCCAGGTGCGTGCCCCGTATGGGTTCCTGGTTGCCCGGAACCCCCCTTTTTTAGCTCAAAATGCAGGATTTTGCTTCATTTTTTGAATTTTCCCGGGGACGCCCCGGAACCCCCCCCCCCCTTGAAGGGCGCCGGCGCACGCACCTGGACTACCTGTACCTGTATGTTCAAAGCACATTATGTACACCCCAAGGCATCACTGGATAGTGGACTCTACATACTCCCTGCTAGATATCGTCATCAATCAGAAAATGTTGAGTGGTCAGCCATGTTTGTATCATTACCGGTACTATTAGTACAGGTCGTCCCCCGTTAATACGAGTCCGGTTAGTACATAAACCCCGTTAGTACATAAACCCCGTTAGTACATAAGAAATCTCAAGTCCCGGACGAAACGTGGTCACTTCCATACACATTTTGTCGGTTAGTACATAATTCGTTAGTACATAAACCCCGTTAGTATATAACATTTCTCCGTACCCGCATGCCACCTACATATACCTCAATAGTACATTTTGTTGGTCTTTTGGCCTTCCAGTGGAGGCACGTCGTGTTCTAGTTTCTACTTGTGGACGCTCAGAAATCAGAGCGCACATCACAAACCAAAAAAACTCTGTTTTTTCGAGTGACTGTACTGGCGCGGCTGGGCATGTATCATGTAAACTGTAGAATCTTCGCTGACTGTGACCGTTATAACATAATTTTTATGTATATCGAAGGAATCAAGAATATCTCGCATGGCAGCAAGAAACACTCAGAAAAGTTGAAAAAAGTGAAAAATTCTGGTATACAAGCAAGTTATGTACACTTTCGTTTAGTACATAAACCCCGTTAACCCTTTAGGGGTCATAGTACGGATTAATCCGTATGTCACACATGTAGTGCTTTGATCACCAATTTTTGCCAATTCTTTGACTTTTTATTATTGGATTTTTGGCAATTCGATTCTCAAGACAATTTTCTACTCGAAACCTGAGTTTTCTAGGTAGGTTGAAACTAAAAGTTTTGAACTACAGGCACGAAGAAAAATTTGACGTTCAACTGTCTGAGTATGCACCAGCTCATGAGTGCAGTAAAATTTTGTTTTAGATTGGGATCATTCTGTCACTCTTTTTAGGAAACCACGATCAACTCTGTCACAACTCTGTCACAACAGATCACATTACCAGAGACTATTCGGTGGCAATCTGTTTGGTCCACTCTGACCTTGGTTTTGGGTTTTCGTCCATTTTGCAAGCATTTCCTACATTTAGAGCAAGGGCTGGCAACCTCACATTGTCAGATTGAGCTCTGGTTTTCTCTATTGGATTCCTTTTTCTGTCCTTGTTCGTAAAAATATAGGTGTTATGTTAGTAATTGTGAACGGTTGTTCAGATATTTGATACTTTTAATGCCGCTTCAAATTTGACGAACAATCCTCAAAACAATTCGACCCCTAAGGGGTCGTCCATAATTATCGAACTTTTTTCACGAAACGAAATAATTTCGTTATGGGGTGGGAGGGGGTTGACCAATTTCGTTTCAGAAAAGTTCGATACATGCACATGGCCATAGGAGCAGTGGCACACTTGCGACTTTTGTTGTATATGCATGTATAATTATGTCAACAATTTTTACGTTCTGAGGGGGAGGGAGGGAGGGGTTGGGTCTAAACTAAAATAATTCGTCTGGTGAAAAAAGTTCAATATTTACGGACGGCCCCTAAAGGGTTAATACATAACATTTGTCAAGTCCCAGAGATTATGTATTAACGAGGGACGACCTGTATTAGGAGTCCTTTACAGCAATACTGTTACACTGTCCCTCCAGGAACTTGCGATTCCGCGGCCGCGTTGTTTTCCGCGATTTGAACAAAAGTCCGTGATATCCGCGATGTTCGAAAAATCATCCGCGTTTTTGTAGAAAACTGTCCTTGATACTTGAAAAGCACCGCGATATTTCGAAAAGCAACCGAGATAACCGAGTCTTTCTTCAATGTTGTTTAGTTCTTGAAGCTCGTCAGTAGTTTACTTGTGAGATCGACACCAGAATGGAGAAGTTTCTGGGAAAATCAGCAGCTCACAAGTCACAAAATAAGGCTCGCGTCGAGTGTTGTCCGAGGATGGAGGAAAGCTGTCTTGCAAGCTCCTGTCAGGCAGTCGAACACAGTCAGCGCAGCACACGTTCTGTTTTGTCATGCATGATTTATGCTGTACGACTCGTACATCGTACACCACTACAGTACAAGTACCAAAATCGGCCGCAATTTCCGCAATTTTACCACAATAATCCCGCAATATTTGACAAAATCCGCAACATTCCCCGCAATTAGTGGCATTTTACCTCGCAACTTTTTCCGCGATATTTCTGAAATGTCTCCGCAAGTTTCTGGAGGGGGCTGTGCAGTGTACAGTGTACAGCACATTGTATTGTTATACATATACATGTCGGCTACAGGCTCTGAGTAAAGGTAAGGCATTGTGCATGACAGTGATACAAAAGTTTTCTGACCTCAGTCTCCAGGTCTCAGAGCCGGGCTCATATCTGATGAAGTTGGGCGTAGAGCAAAGAAACTCGGAGTTGAGACGCGCGCCTGACTTCCACTGAGTACTGGTACAGGACCAAGTAGTTAGTTGTGTGCCTTGCTTGGTTCAACACAGCCACTAGTGTAGCAAGAGTTCATAACCCCCAAGGTTATGAACTCTTCTTCAAAAAGTTCTTGATTGTTTTAAAAATGTAGAGTCCATAAACAACACACTCTTGATGGTAGTCTACATCAGGGAGTCGTAAAATACGACTCCCTGGTCTACATAGCTTTGTACCAATTGTAGCCTACTTTTTTTTGTATGTAGGGAGTTGTAGATCTACGTACCCGGAGTCCCGGACCCGGTACATCATACATCTGATCATCGTAACATTTCTATGCATGTGACCATGTCACGTGTCTACCATACCGTTCCCAGTTTCCCACTTGCCCGTACATGTCGCATGGCATGCATGGCTGACTGTTGTACTGACTGTCGACATGTCGATTGTCGTAGCGTGACTGCAAAAGACGTACAATGCACCTTTGTGATTCACACGTTTTTTGTTTTGGTTTTGTTTTGCATTGGCATTCGGTTCTTGCTTGTGCTGGCAAACTGAGAAGAGCGTCGGTCATGGCCTACTCGCTCTGTCCACTGTTGCTCTTGCTGTTGACCAGCTGTTCCTGGTCTTCGTGCCGAGGCCAGGTGCTTCCGAGCGAAGCTTTGCTGCGATGGAGCGCGTACGAAATGGGAGCCATGATATCTTGGAATATTGACACCATGGACGGTGAGAAACATTCTTATTGTTTCCCTAATCATCATGTAGAGTGTAGTGTCGCAGGAGGCACGAATGTGTCTCGACTACGCGTGCCTCGGAAGCCGACAAACAAGAAAAATAAAACGAAATCCAGCTTGTTGCGATCCTAAAATAAAATGAAAAGCAAAAAATTATAAAAATGAACGAACACTGCTAGGTATGTTTACGAAATATTTAGTTACTGCAGACCCATCATGAATGGACCCGTATAAAAGTCTGAGGACTGCGATACAGTAGAGTCGCGCGCTGAAGAACGTGGAGCCCAAGAACGTCCAGGCTGAAATACTAAGAACGCCACATCCTAAAGCTAAGAACGGCGGTGTTGGTTTTCTGGCAGCTTGTGGGATACATATGATCCAGTACGCACTGTTTCTAAGAACGTGCAATAAGAACGCAGCCAGATTGCTGAAAAAATAAGAACGTCCCAGGCTAACCCCTCGGAAACAACGTTCTTGGGCGCCTCGACTCTACTGTATGACGCGAGGGCGAGAAGAAGTAGATCGCCCAATAAATTAAATAAATTTCACGGTTCGCGTGAGACTCGGCTGAAAGCCGAGTTTTCCGCATCCGCCGTGGATGCGCCACCACCCTCTAGGATCAAAGGCGCAGATGCAGCGCCTAAACGGTGGGAGGTGAGTAGATCAGACCCACCACCAAGTGGTCAAAAACCGAAATCCCATTAGCTGCATCCATGTTACCCTCGTGCCAGGCCACGAGTTCCCAATTAACTGTGGGTCGCAGCACGGCTGGAAAAATTCCTTCCGCTTCCAAGCAGGACTTGAACCTGGTACCCTCTGTTTCTCAATCATGGTCTTAGACCATCCCACTATGCCTGCCTGCATAGATAGATCGCCCAAAAGCGTTAGTTATACGTCTATTTTATAAAAGCATAGGTTACAAAGGAGTAGAAAACAGATCGTAGCCGACATTGCCCTAATTCTCAGCTAAGAACACAATCACCATGTACTGTATAAGCAGAAATATTCGTCTGGAATTTAATTTCGTCTTTTTCGTCCAAGGAGGTGTTTGGACTATATTAAATGTCGTACTAATGTCGATTTGTCCAGCTTTTCGATACACTGAGTTATGATCCATGGACAAAATTTACAACCTGACGAACTCCCTTTCTTTGGAGTTGGACGAACTGTCCTGCCTGTACAGTATTCCATGCACATTTCCCATGTTAAGTTGATGCACTCATCACCGTACATGGCCATTCATCGACATTATAATTATACCGTATCATCTCTAATAATTATAAGCACAGTCTCCAATAATAGCACGTCTCCAATAATAGAACACCTTGGGGCGGCATTCAAAAAATAAAGTGCTCAGTCTCCATTATAAGCACACTGTGTAAATTCATTATCTGTACCGGTGAAAAAACCCTGAAATGTGTGTGTCTGACATGAATTTGGCATGGCAACAAGCCTCTGAAATGAGGTTGAAATAATAATTGAACAGTCTCCAATAAAGGAACGTCTCCAATAATAGCATTGGGCGGAGGTACATTGAAAAAATAAAGGACCGTGCTTATATTAGTATAGGCCGCACTGGAGTAAGAGCCGCACCCCCCCCCCCCCCTTTTTTGCCACGAAATACAGACGTGTATCCTAATTTTATCACCATTAATTTGATTGAACTCGGATAATGAGCCAGTACTGAATGTAAAATAGAAGAAGAAAACGCATGGGAACGAGTTACGAAGCAACAGGGATGAATTTATCCTGTATCGCATCGCGGTTTGCGATGCAAAATCGATCTACTGCTACTCAAAGTCATCGTGATTCGCAAAAAAACTGCGATACTTACAGACTATCCATGCCTCCTAGCCTGCGCTGTCAAGTAACATGCATACCATGCAGTGTATGTGGTGCAGGTACTCTCAATCCGCATGCACATGTACGCTTCAGTCGTTTTGTTGTAGATTGGCTTTCAGGCATCACTCTCAAGAAGGACAATGTGGTAAACACCCAACCTTCAAAGAAGAATGCTGATCAAAACCAAGCACTGCAGTGCAGTTGTGATTTTGTATAGCAGAAACCGCCCCTTTGTTTTGGGTGAATCTTGAGTGTGCAAGGTGCGGCTTATACTCCGGAAATTACGATACATGTTGGTGAAGAAAATGTCTGCTCCGAACGTCAGAGCTCGCACTTCCTGCCGACTGACTTGACACTTGACTGACTCACAACTGCGCCTGGCAAGTCAGTCGGCAGGAGGCGCGAACTCCGACTTTTTGGAGCAGACGCTTTCTTCGCTAATTTACCACCGATGTCGCAACATCTTAGTTATATAGTCAGACCTCGCCTATCCGGTCCTCTTTTATCCGGATCCCTCGCCATCCGGAAGAAAATAGCTGCTTACAGATGTACAGCATACGTGATGCATCCAACATAGCCGGTGTTCGGTTATCCGGTTCCCTCGCCTATCCGGATAATTTATAGAAAACGGATGTGTGCAGTTAAACCAGGTCTAACTGTATACATGTTTGTGCTGGTGATATCTGTCTTTTGATCAATTTGGGATTTTTGGATGCAGCATTGATCAGCGTAGGCTACACGCCATGCACCACAGACATGACACTGGCCACAGGTACTACTCACTCGCATGCCTCACATTTCCTGTTCGAATTACACGTCAAATCTTTATTTATATATTTCGTTACTAAGTTAATTATGCAGTTCTTGAAACTGCCCATCTTGAAAGCTGAAGGCATTGCTGAAGGCATTTCCCGGTGGCTTTCGAATCAAGTCCATCGTCCGCGTCATCATCTTGGATGCAAGGCGTGGTGTAGTGGTGTGGCGTGCTCGCTTAGCCGGAAGAGAGGCCGTCGAAGGTGCAATGGAGTCTGACGATGCTCGCTGTTTACACTGATCCAATAGTGCTAGTGCTGTGGGTAGTGTGTCCTCTTGAGATGGCTGGTCATAAGAAGCAAGACTGGCGCTGCACCTGTGCTTCGCCAAATGCCCATAACAGCCAGGGGCGTCACGGGGCAGTGGGTAGTGGCACGACCGGGGTCCATGGGTGTCCCCCTGGGGGGGGGGGGGGGGGGATCGGATTTTCCGGGCAACAGGGCGCGCCCTTTTATTGCTTTTTTGGGTGAATTGGGCGTACCAGCCTGGGCGTAAAGTGGTACGACCATGGTCGTACTGGTCGTACCATGTGTGACGCCCCTGACAGTGGACGGTGCTGGACCCTGTCGACCAAGCTCAGTGATGCAGCTGGCCCTCACCGAGTGGTTCGTACTTTACGGTTAGTCCAGCTGCTGCTGATATTTGTGTCATCATGGAGGCGAGGGTGTTCTTGCCCAGGGGCTTGCCATTGTGCCACGTATCTCTCTGACGGGTTGCTGCTGACGCTCGCTGGAACGATCTCGTTGTCCCTCCTTTCCTCTTTGTAACCTTGGAGGTGTACGGGTTGAAGGCACCCATTTGGTGACTGTCTACAATTCTACCACCGGGCACTTCGTCAGCGGAGGTGAGCGAACCCTGACGATTTTTCTCT